TTAATACTAAATATTAGGGCTAGTAAAAATATTAATAATTTATTTATTATTATATTAAACTAAGAAATAATATTAAAAATTAAACTATATTAAATTAAAAACCTAGTATTATTAATAAGTTATTTTAAAGGCCTTAAATAAAGTAAGTAATTTTACTTTAATTATTAAAGTTATAATTAAGCACTGCTTTATAACTTTTTATTTAATTAAATTATTATATAGCTTGTAGATATAGCCTACACTAAAAAAGTAATTAAATTAGTTAATAAAAGCTATATTAAAGTAGGTCTTATAGGGATTATATGCCTTTAAAATAAGCTTATTTTTAAAGTTATTTAAACCAGAGTATTTAAGGGCTATAAAGCATGTGTTATAAAAATAAAAAATAAGTTAATTTACTATATATTAATAATAATCTACTAGATTAACTAGGTGTTTTAATAGTTAATTAATAATATAAAAAATATTTAAATAAGTAAGCATGCTTATATATTTAACTAAGTTAACTTTAGACCTTATTTTTTTAATTTATTAAGGTGTAGTAGTACTAAAGTTTAAATAAAGCTTATTAAAAAAAAAAGATATTTTTAAAGGTTAAATTATTATATTTAGGTGGAATTAGTTTATAATTACTTTAATATAAAAGTTTTAATATAACTAAACCTTATACTTCTTCTTATTTTAAATAATTTAAACTTTTAAAAATTATTTTACTTTATTAAGATACTAAAGCTTGTACTTTATTACTAATTTTTTTTTAAAAATAGCTATAATAGCTTGGCCTTTTTTAATAAAAAGGTTTATAATAATAATATTATTTATATAAATTAAAAAAATTATAAACTTACTAATATAAAGGCACTTTTTTTTAAAAATTATAGTAAATTTAAATTTTTATAGTATTATAGCTAAATTAAGCTACTAAAAGTATAAAAACTTTTAAAATTTATAAATAGCCTTAAGGGCTTTTAGTAACTTACCCCGCTGCTTATAGTTATTTAAAAAGTAAAAATATATTACCTTTTTAAAAATAGTGTTAAAAAACGCGTTAATAATATTTTTTTAGTTAAAATTAAGATTAAAAGTAGTTATAAGTATTATAAGAGCTTTAAAGGCCCTTGCTAAGGTAGTTACTACTTAATTTTTTTTAAAAAATTTTAGTTTTAAATCTTTGCGCACATAAATTCAGGCTTTAGCCTTAATAAAGTAATTATTAATATTAAGTTTATAGGTAAAAACCTATAATAAAAAAATTAGCTTGTTTATTCCTGCCTTTTATTTATTTATTACTTTTTATACTTTTATTTTATAAAAAGCTCCTAGTTTAAGATTTATAGCCTTTAAAAACTTATTATAAAATAAATAATTTTTAAAATTACTTTAGCGCTTAAAAAAAAAGGTAAATTATTTTAATAAAGCTATTTTTTTACAGGGTTTTAATAAAGAATAAAAAAGGTAAATTAAATATAATTAAGGTTATTTAAATTATTTAAGGGAGTATTATTTAAATTTAAATTATATATATAATTATTAGTATTATATTATTTATGCCTGCGCCTGGATATTTTTAAAAAAAAAGCTAAAGTTACTAAAGTTCCACCTTTTAAGCGCGCTAAGCTTAAAGGCTAAGTAAAAAAAAAAAAAAAGCTAGGCATGCTTATTTATTTTTTTTAAGTAATTATTTACTTGCTAAATTAATAAAAAAATATTAAAATATTTAAAAGCGTAAAATTTATTACTAGGAATTTTTTAAATAGGCTTTTAAAGCTATTTATAAGGCCAAGTTTTATATAAGCTTTTTATAATAATAAGGTTTGGGAGTTGCCTTAGAAGTTAGTAAGTATAAAAACTTATTTAATTAATTAAAGGCCTTTTTTTTACTAGTAGTATTTTTAATTTTACTAGTAATATTTTAAGCCTTATTTTTTATTTTATACTTACCACTATTACTAATACCTTTTTTTTTTAAGATTTTTACCACCCGTGGCCTATTTATGTTTAAAATACCCTTATTTTTTTTTTATTTAAAAAATTTACTAAAATTAAGGTTAAGGTTAATTTCTTTAGTCTCGCGGTTTTAAAAGGGGATATTAAAAACTTAGCCTGGAGGCTTTAGTAACTTAATCTTAATATTAATAATAAAAAAAGGATTTTTTAAATTATATAATTTAAACTTATTAAAAATAATATTTTTACAGGCACGTATAAGCTGCTTTTTAAAAAACTAAATTTACTAAATATTTAAGGTAATATAACCTAGTAAGTATCCTAATAAAGCCTTTGGTTTTATTTTATAAAAATTTTTTATTTAAAATTATCTTGCCCAGGCAAAATAACCCAGTATTTTAATACTAAAAATATAGGGTTTTTTATTAGTAAGTGCTTTTTATAATATTTTTTAATTTAGTAGCTTAATAAAAATTTAATTATTAATATAAGCTGCTGTCTTTATAACCTAGGGCTATATATTAAAAAAAAATTTTTTATAAAAAGCTATTATTTTTACTTTTTTAATTAGTATACTACTAAAGCGCTTAGCTATATTATTTTAAAAAAAAGTATAGGGAGTAAACTAGTTCTAAAGTATACTTTAAAATATAGTAAAGTTAGGAATATTATTACTAAGTATAAGCTTATAATTATTAAAAAAAACCTTAAAAGTAATATTAAACTAGGTTTAAATAAGCTTAGTATATTACTTAATAATATTTTTATACCTATTTTTCTCCTGGTGGACATAGGCCTAGTAAAACTTAGTATTTTTATTATAAAAGTAAGTTACTTATTTTTTTTTATTTATTGCTTTTTTTATAAAAATTAAGTTAAAGTAAACTTAATTAAATAGTGTAGTAGCGGGATTTTTAAACCTTTTAAATATTTATTAAGGGGCCTATTTATATTTATAAGTATTATATTACTAAGGTAGTTAAAAACTAGTAATCTAAACTTTTTTAATTATAGTTAATAAGTATTAAAGTATTTTATTACTAATATAGCCTAGGCGCTGGTAAAAAGCTTTAAAATCTTTTTTAATATAAATTTTTTAAGTTAAAGTCTTAACTTTTTATTAAGTTAAAGTGTTAGCCTTTTTTTAAGGCTTTAAGTTCTTTTTAAACTTAACTATTTAAAGGCTAAATAAATAATTTTTAAAATAAAATACTAGTTTGCCGTTTTTAATAATTAAAGTATTAAAATCCTAAAAATATCCAGCTTTTTTAAAAGGCCTAGCTACTAGGATATTAATATAAAAGCTAGGTATAAAGGCTATTTTACTAAAAGTAAAAAATATTATTTTATTATTTAAAGCCTTAAAATAAAAAAGTACTAATCCCATGCCTTAAATAATAATAGTTATATTTTTTACTTAAATATTACCTTTTTTTAATTAATTAAAAAAGGTAAAATARCTAAAATTATTATAAATATAAATAAAGGCACTAGTATTAAAAATAAAGGTATTTTAAAGTATTAAATTACTTTAAATACTTATAACAAGCGCGTAATTATAATATTCTTTTTTTATTATAGCCTAAGCAGCTAGAAAAGCTCTTTAAGCTTTTTTTTTTAACTTTTTTTTATTTTTAAAAATTTATTTATTCTTGGCCCTTACCTTTTAAAATTTTTTATTATATTTATTATTTTTATTAAGAGCTTTACTAACCTTTTTATTTATATTTTTTTTTAGGTTTATACCATGGCTTTTTATATAATTATATAAAGTGCTAATACTATTTTACCGCTTAAAAATAGCTATATAAATAAAAAGGCTTGTTATTAGTTAGTGCTATTTTAAAGAAAATATTTAATTTTTTATTAAAAGTTATAAAGGCCACCACTTTAGTAAAGTTTTAAAAAAAGCTATTAATTATAAAAAAATATTATTAATATTTAAATATAAACTAAAGGTAAGAAATTAAATTAGCACCTTTTTAGTTTAATTAGTTAGTATTTTATTTTATATAAAAATTTAAATACTTGCTAATTATCCGCAGGAAGGTTATATTAGCTATTTTATTTTTTAATTTAGGTTAATTAAGGTGTTTAATCTTTTAATAGGCGTTTTTATAATTTTAAAGTTAATTACTAATCTTGCCTTATTAAATTAAAGTGTTTAAGGCTATAAAATAGTTACTAAATGCCTTTAGTTTAGTTTTAAAATTAGTTAAAGTAAACTATTGCTTTAATTTAGCTAAAACCTTTATAATAAGTTTATTTTTAATAAGTTATTAAATAAAAATAGTAATAGTCCTTTAAATAGCTTTATTTATTTTTTAAACTTTAGTATAATAATGCTTAGTATTAAGCTAATATTTATTATATATTTTAAATACTTTTTTAATTACATTTTTAAAAGGCAACTTAAAAAAAAAAAAAATCTTTTTTTTTTTTTTAAAAAATATTTAGGTTAAGAAACTCCTAAACTTTTATTATTTAAGTAAAGTAAAAAATTTAGCTATACTAAGCTAGCTAGTTATTCCTGGACTTAAAAATAACTTTTATATTTATAATATTATTAATAAAGCTTATAATAACTTTTAAATTAAGTATAAAAGTTAAGAATTAATTAATATTTATTTTAATTTAATAAAAAAGGTAATTAACTATAAAATAGCTTGGTATAGCTTTAAGGCATATACTTAAAGGTATAAATAACTTTAAAATATTTAAAAAAGGTAAAAATTTAATAAGCTAAACTATTAAGTTAATATTTAGGCTTATAACTATAAGGCCCTTTATATATTATATTAATTAGTAAAGCTATTAATTAAATATTATAAAAAAAAATAAAAAAAAAGGTAAGTTATTTATTAAAAGCTAAAGCTACCTAGGGGTTTATATAAATATTTTAAGCCTTTAAAAACTTATTAATAACCTAATTTCTTTACCGGAATAGTAAGGTATTAAGCGCCTTACTTTTTTATACTAACGCGGCATGTGGAGGCGTTGACAAATAAGAACTCCACCAAACTCCACCTTTGGCTGACACTACAACAATCAAAATGTCAATCCACCTCATCTCGAAGGCGAACATCGCCGAACACCTGACAATCGACGTCCCCCCTTCAGACTCCCCCCTAAAACCCTCCTCCGTCCGCATCCGCTCCTCCCTCCTGAGTCTCACATCCAACAACCTCTCCTACGCCCTCCTAGGCACATACATGCACTGGTGGGACACCTGCCCCGTCCCATTAACTCTCCCACCCCCCTACAATAACCCCTCGGACTACGGCATCGTGCCAGCATGGGGCCTCGCGACCGTCCTCGACAGCACGATTCCCTCCCTAACCCCCGGCACAATCCTCTGGGGCTTCTGGCCAACAGGATCCCACGCCTTTGATCTAACACTAACACCCGCCGAACTCCCGGGCCACTACAAAGAGGTCTCGGCGCACCGAAAAGATGTCCTCCCGCTCTACAACCGCTACCGCGTCTTCGACACCCAGGGAAACGACCTGAGCACCTTTGGCTGGGACGCAGCCGTAGGCACGATTTTCGTTGCTGGATACCTGTTGGCCGAGTACATGTTCACCCCAGACCCAGCGTCTCACCCGGCAATCCACCCAAGCGAGCCCGGAGCGCTGGAATGGAAAGCTTCCGACGCAGACCTGTCGAAAAGCATCTTCGTGAGCCTGGGCGCATCCACGAAAACCGCGCGCTCGACGGCGTTTAATTTCTTTGCGAGATCGCCGGGGACGGAACCGCTCGGACTGCTGCAGTTCACGTCGTCGGTGGATGCACTCTCTGAAGCGGCGGCGAAGGGCAGTCCCAATTTCGCGGTTGGGACGTTGCCGTACTCGGATGTTGAGCTGGCGGGGAAGTGGATTGCGGGGCTTGAGCTTGAGACGAAGATCGAAAGAGTTGTTGTCGCGGACTTTGGGAGCCGCGATGGGGTTTTGGTGGGTGTTGTTGAGGATATTAGGGGCAATGAGAGGCTAAAGGGGGTGGAGGTTGTTGTTCTTGCGGTTGGGGGGCAGCAGAAGGTTAGCTCACTACTATGTCCTCTACTTGGTTTGGTGAGATTAGTCTGGAACTAACCGTGACAGGTCTACTCCTTCGACGAGATCATGGCCGAACAGGCGATGCTCGCATCCCTGAACAGAGTGCAGATGAATACGTCGCCCGCGTACGAAGAGGCGATTAAGCTTGTTGGCGCAGAAGAATTCTACCGCGGCGTCCAGGAGAGGTGGAATAGCTGGCTGGAGAATCGGGAGGCTGCTGCACCGGATCTCCGTCTTGTTTGGGGCGGCGGTGTTGCTGGGGAGGAGGGGATTGAGGGGTGCTGGGGGAAACTGTGCGGGAGTAAGGTTCGGCCTGAGGAGGCCCATGTATTTCGGATCTAGGAGGACGTCGGCACGGTCTATAGCACTGGAGGGTACGATGGCATTGGTGGAGAATATCTAGGAATTCGCTAGAGTCTGCTTCTCGATCTCTTCCAACGCCTGTTGTATACCATCCCAGTCCCCCAATCCACCTTCTTCCTTCTGCTTCAATTTCATCTCCACAAATCCATCCATTGCTGCCCTTTCCTCCTCAGTCAGAAGCTTCAGACGATCCTCGATATCCCCCTCGCCAAAGAACCTCCTATCGATCTTCGCCCAGTAAACCAAATCAAACGCCCAGCTCTTTCTGGCGGCATAGTTGACCCAGAAGTCGCCGCTCTCCCAACTCTTCAACATATGATGCGATAAGCGATGCTCCTCTTTGAGAACACCTCGCTCGATCCCAGCGTCTTCCTTTGCTTTCAGCGCCTTCAGGAAAGTCGGGAGCACCTTCTCGTACTTCTCAACCCAGTCGTCCAAGCCTGGTTCCCATGACTCTGGTTGTTCTAGTAGCAACCAGGAAGGCGGATCATAGGCATAACCCGTCGGTGCCGAGTAGGTATACTCCAGGTCAATGACCGCGGCAAGCTGGTTGCCTTTCCCTGCAAGCACATTTGCAGGCCTGAAATCGTCACAAAATAACCTGAAGGGCCCGGCATCGTTTGGGCTGAGCTTATGCTCGCAGGCGATCTTGCGGAACAGACAACGCGCAACATATTTCTGGCGGCAGTCTTCTGCTGATGCGATAGCGTCGTTTCGCTGCGAGGCGAGGTGGACCATGTGCAGTTCAGCTAGGGCTTGGTAGAAGGACGAGGCAGTTTCAAAGGGATGCTGCGGGAGCTGGTCTGGCGCGACTCCGCCCAACTGCACCAGCTCGTTCATGTTGAAGGTGAGTGGGCGGTGTTTGGCTATCCAGGTATCGTCGAATTCGTCGTCCGGGTTTGCCTTGTCGATGCAGCCGATTCCGGAAAATGTTGGCTTTGCGATCTGGAGCATAACATCCGCCATCTGGCCATAGATACTTTCCAGAGTTTCAACCTCGACATTCGGGTCCAGGATTGGCCTGTCAGCACCGGTAAGACCGGGCGTATTGAGGGGCTTGATAAAGTTGGTCTCATGGTTGATGTATTCCATGAGGATGAATGGGCCGAGTTCCACCGGACTGTCCTTCGCGCATCCGTGCTGGAAGACATGAGGGACACGAAAAGAGGTGAAATACTCTAGGAACTGCATAACAGCGACTTCGCGTTTGACTTTTTCTTCCGGGAACATCGATGATCCTGGAATCGGGAATCGTAGCATTGCCCCGCTCCCATTCTTGAATGCCATATGAAAACATAGGTTGAATGCGCCTCGCCGAGGAGTAAAGAGCTCGTCAGGGAGCCCTCCCTTTCGCTCAGCGATGAACCGCCCAACCTCACGCAAAACGTCCTGCTTGAAAATTTTGTCCTTCCATGCCTCTAGCATCTCGTCTGACTTGGCCCAGAGTGCATCATCATATTCCATATTCTGAGCTGTAATCGGCGCCATTTTGATACCGTCGTTGTCAAAGTAGTGAGTGAGTGTCTACTGGACTCTTGTGTATATCTTCAAGGTGGGAGGAAGCGCAGCATGAAGCCAGGGCGGAGAAAGCAGCAGGGCACAACGAAGGCCGGTCGCCTTGAATGACCCTTAGGCGCTGCACCGCCCACTCACTGAGTCGCAAACTATTCTTAGCGAGGCTCTACCTGTTGACCCAAGGTGGAGAGGTTGGGTGGGTAAAGAAGTCTCGACCGTCAACGCCAACAACGTAAGGGATTTAGGCGCCGCGGTCGGATCACGTTGTGCCAGTGGGCCAATCTAATCCTCTTCAGGCTTGCCAAGTCAGATACCGCAGATCTATCACAGTAGCGACCAATTAGGCAACAGGCTGATTCAAGCAATATACCTGACTTAAAGACAGGGCATTGGGCCTCGTTCGTTCTCCCATTTCACGCTAAAGATCCAACGGGGCGGTTTCCATAATCATGCATGACTCATAGAGCAACAGCAAAGTCCGCATTAGACGCCGAAGGCCAGTGTAAGCAGGTAACTGGTTACCATGGACTTGGTAACCAATCCACGACAAGGAGCAAGTACCAACTGGGCCAGACATTGGATTATCGCATGGTTGTTTCATCCTCGGCGACTGCAAGTGTCAGTTTACGTACAGGCACAGCAGAGGAAATCAAGGCACACTCACCTTCCATGTACAAGCCTGCCGCAGCACTGGGCGCTTGGCCTGTTCCAGGTTCCACTGCCAAATCGAGGACTTCTGTTAGTATCTGTGATGGAGTACGTTGACTCACAATATGTCATTATGCATGCGTCAAGACCGCCATGGTAGTCTAGTGTACTTCCCGAAACCCCGTTGCCTTGACCTAGCCTAGCCCGGGAATCGCAGCAAAGAAGGACAGGAAGAATGCACAGTGCGGGGTGATGGAGGGTGGTCCGGAGGTCGCGGTTTCGTAATAGTAGGCAATGAAGCACTTGCTCAAGCCAAGCCCTGGCGTAAATGCCGCAATTGCGCCGCAATATGGGGCTGCAAGCCATCGCTGCTCCCTGGCCAGTAAAATTTCGCGATCATCGCATTTTCGCTCCAGGCGCCGGGCGCGAACTCGAAAATGACTGGTCCAGAATTGGGATGGTACTATGATAGCGTATACAGGCTGATTGTGTAGTTCCAGAGCGTCTGTGCACGACGAGGCTCCGGTAGAAGAAGGATGCTATGGTTTCGCCGACGACGCAGTTAACCTGTGCCACCAACGAAATAGGGCATCCACTTACCAATCAATACACGCCGACTATGGCGGAGTTAGTAATAAAATCCTGATTCTGAACCTCATTCATATCCCCGCTGGCGGCCATGCCTCTTTGTAATCCCATAGGCCGATCAAAACAGTAGGGGCCGCGGTAAGGCATATTTGAACAGCATCAAAGATGGGGATGCGAGGGTCATCAATGACGGGGCGCTTAACGGACAGAATCCTAGGGCGAGTATGACCTTGGTGATTCTCGGGCATAAAAGGCTCGCGATTTCTGCGAAGATATCCTTTCTTGCAATCACCCTCGCACACATTCCATACAAACCACAAGTCAAAACATCATCATTTCTCTCTCGCCCCCTTCTCCACATAATCGGAGACTTCTATCATCAATACCGTACCTCCTTGAGCACTTGAACTAAAAACACCCTTGGTCGGTCACTCCATGACCTTCTGCTACCGTTCCGCAGAGTTGCATAAAAGCTGACCCATGGATTGCAGCAACAACATGTCCCGCAAGGAAACCGAGTTCAACATGAACATCTCCCAAGACAACCACGAGAGACTCTCGGAACGGGGCACCACCTCGCAGAAACAAAGGGGGATTCAGCCTAAGACCGGTAGCATGACAGAGTTTAAGCTCCCGTCTGAAACGGAGGACAAACTTATGCACGATGCTGGTGAAGCTTCCCGGAAGCGCAGGCAGAATCAAGGAAAATAGTCGAACGCCCACCACCGTACAGCCCGCCGCTTGACGATGTTTCAGCATCGCCCACCCGACAATTCTCAAATTGGCCGTTACCGTACATGAACGTCCTCCGACAAGCCTTGATGAGCGTTGTTGGATTGCATCGCAGTGTTATACCTGGGCAGTGACTGAGTTGTGATTCTGTGGGATCTTAATCCTCGCTTGGCCGGTTATTGTTGTTTTTGATCACTTGGTCGATGTGTTGTGCTTCCAGTATCGTTATGGTTGCCTACATATTACTTCAATATCACAATGTTTGTTGGGGGTGGATACTGCTTGACAGATTATAAGCATCACTGAATGGGACAAAGCTCCATGACGTATCTTGAGAAACTCAGCAATCCAGAGACTTCCTGTTCCCATTCCACTTTGATCCACGAAGACAATGCCATAAAGCCTGGGACGTTGGCGGCCGGTGGAAGACCCACGGTCCTTACCTTGATAATCGTGGGATGGCCGTTTTTCGTATTTCGTCTTGGGCAGAGACTCACCAGTGCATGCTCCCGCATCATGACCGACCTCTTCGCAATGGGCATCAAGAGAGCTCGTTGCTCGGCATAGTCTAGCGCAGAGTAGTAGGTAGGCACGAATGTTGGTGAAAGGTAGCCACAGGTGGATGTCAACAGCCAGCGCTAAGCCCGATACGGTACGGTACCGTACGGTACCATACTGCATACTCCAGGTGTCCCTGCAGACACAAGCAACACTCGTCTCCCCGTCTCCTTCTCTCTCCTCTCATTGCAACCGACCAGTCCACCCCGGAAATGGCAAAGAATGCGAGTGCGCCGTACTCTAGGTGAGACTGAAAGAGCTGCTATGATGTTAACCACCACTCTAACCTATACGGTAATAGCTTCCTAGGCTCGGAAACCGTCTCCCTCAGAGCAACAGAAGCCGGCCAACCCCTCCACATCCACCACAAGCTTTTAGCTTCGACCTCAAAGCCTATCGCTGCCGCCTTTGAAAGCGGGTTCGAAGAGGGAAAGAAGAGAGTCTACACATTCCAGGACGTGTCCGAGGCCACTCTCGCCCGGTTTATTCAGTGGGCCTACACTGGCCACTACCCAGAGACAATTGAAGGAGCACAAGAAGAAAAGGATGAGATCGCCGACGGCCAAGTCAACCAGCCGAACATCGACAAGCTCTTCGATCTTGACAGATTTGGTACTAAGCCCAAACCCAACAACACCACACTGACACCATTCCTTCTCAAGCGAAAGGCAGAGGAAGCGGGTTCATTCAGAGGCAAGCGTAGAAGAGACTCCATCTCTTGCTCGCCCCCCACCCCGACTCGAAACATACAGAGTCATTCCTTGCTGACGCACCTTGACCTCTACGTTTTCGCCAGGATCTATATGATCCGCGACCTCCGACGTCTCGCATTCGATCGAGCAACAGCCATGCTGATGGAGATAAACTACCTCACTGCACCAGAGTGGAAAAAGGATTTCATCGCTGCGCTGCGTATATCATTCACGCAGCTTGTTCTCGACGACAAGCTGGCCAAGTGGCTGGCTCAGTACGCGGCGTACAATGTGACCCATTTGCGTGTCTTTCCAGACTTCCACGCGTTGTTGAAGGAAATTCCCGAAGTCGCTACGCAGATGATGCTGTCCTTGGGTGCTGCTCGACCCCCATGGCAGAAAACGGGCTGCTTGAAAAACGGTGAGAGTGCTGAGGCCATGTTTGAGATTTATCACTCCGGCGATGACTATTAAATCCCGCTCGATCTGATGCTTGGATCAGAGACTAGCAGGATCTAGGTAACGAAATTGGATACTTGATGTTGGAGAACGATAGGGTTGAGATATTCTGTCTTGGTTCAGTGGAAGTCAGCGCTCTGCTTGGGGTAGCGTGGAATAGTCCTAAATACCAAGAGATCATTGAGAACTTATGCGTAACATGGAGGCTTCTCATGTTGCCAATGGTACCAGCCAAGGCCAGCAGCTACGCTGCACGGCCAGGAAGGGATACCCTATCTGAACAATGTTTTTCTACTGGACTGCTTACCTCGAAGACGCTTCAGAAACAAAGATGCCGTACCCTCAGCCTTACGCACCTCCCCGATCCATTCTCTGACACAGCCGGCTCCTAGTCCTGGACCTCTTCACAGTAATAATATTGCACCTCGTGCCAAACTCCAACCAGCGGCGAAGTGATGTGTTGCATCAAGTCCGCTCATAGAATGGCGGACTTCTATCTACTTGTCTATTCCCCATTAATATGCCCTAATCAATATTTTCATGACGAAATATAGAAAGGAACATAGCAAGTACTTCGAAGTATCACACGACCAAAGGGAAGATACAAGATAATAGGCCAAATAATACTAAAGAACCATCTGCCACTTAACCCTCCTCTCCTTAACCATCGCCATAACGCCAACAGGCAAATACTTCCGATCGACAAGCGCAGCACCCCCATAATCCCTCAACACCTCCGGCGCATACATCTGCAGAATCCACCTCACCTCCTGATCCAACGCCCTAACCTGTCCCGAGTTCAGCGCTACAAACAGCGCATTCGACATTTCCATCGTGAAATCAATCCCGTCAGGTTCGGGAACCTCCTGAAGGTCCTGATACAGCGTTCGAAACAGGGTACTCTGGCTCCAGCGGAAGCGGGACCATTCTTCGAATGACATGAACGTGTCGCGTTCGGCACGGGGAACGAAGCGGCGCTCCATACCGTTATTGGCGTGTGCGAAACGCGTCATGCGGGTTGTTTGCGGGAGTTCGTCGAATTCCTTCTTGAGGCTGTTGTAGAGTTTCACTTCGTTTGCTGAAAAGTCGAGGATGCGTTGGAGGGGTGAGGTGTGTAGGGCGTCGCGGACGAGGAAGGGCGATATCGAGGGATTGCGCAGGCCCAGGCCGCCCAGCTCTTCGGGGTAGTAGAAGAGGGCATCTGGGATGTCAGAGACGCCGAAGCGGTTTTTGATCATTTGGCGGAGGTGCTGGGTGACTGTGCCGGTGTCGCCGAACAAAGTTTCCTGCATTGCCCTATATGTGGACAGTATCATGTCGACATGGCCTTGTCCGAAACAGACAGCTGGTTGACCGAATGTGTTTTTGAAGAACCGGCCTATGCAACTGTTCCAGGTCCGGATCCAGGCCATAACGCTATCACACTTGTCCAACTGGGTCTTGAGTTGTTTGACGTGAGCATCGACCTGCGTTTGGTCAATTATCCATGTGCCGGAGGGGTCCAGCTTGAGGAAGCCGAAAGTCACCGGCCCATTGGGTAGCCGACCCTCAACTACAGGATCAGGCAGGTCGGATAAACACACCGACCCAGTCTTGCTCATATTGAACTCCAGGCCGGTAACTTTCGCGAATTTGCCCATCACCTCCCATGCATGCGCACATTTGCTTGGCTCGCCACAGAGCCAGAGGTCGTCGTGAAGCCGATAGAGAAGAAGCCCAGTTGTTCTGTTCACAGCAAGATCCATGAAGAACAAGATCATTTCCCCAATCAGTTTCTCAGATGAATGGGCCATGGGCACTCCGCGCTTCCGAGTTCGCGGACCCATCGGCATGCGGCCCTCGGAAGATGAATCCAAATTCAGCGGCGACTCGAGGTACTTGCGGAAGAAGACGATCCATTTTTCAGACAGGCCAATGTATTCCATCACGGCAAAAATAGTGCTATGTGGGAGTCCCGTCGCATACCAGCGGAGGTCGGACTGGACCACAGCCGCCTCGTCGTAGATATGTCTCTGGATAAGGGTTTCGGTCGCAACCTTACGGAGTAAATGTTGCTTTGGGTTTTTAATCACCTCACTCTTGGTCCTCCAAATATCCTCACTCTCCTGTCCATCCTCAGACTCGTCGTCATACGGTGCGCCTCCATCAGCCAAAGTTGTCAGCTCAAGCGGCAGCTGGCAAAGGAAATACCCCTCGAGGTAATCCGACTTTCGAGCATTCTCCGGCCCACCTCTTGACAACCTGTCAAGGTAGTATATCTGGCGTTCCTTGTCATGTTCGGTGAATGGCGGCGCGACCGCCCAATTCCAAACGCCATCGGAGAGGATAAAGTCTTTCAGTTGGTTCTTGAGCAGATTGCACAATCGTAAGCCGATGTATTGCACGAAAATGAGCTGCAGGACATCCTCATCCATCCAAATGCGATACTTTCCATTCAGCTGCTGTCGAGGTAAAACCGGAATACCTTCGTCTTCAGCAAACCAGTCCCAATTCTCCAAGTCCGCCCACCGCATGTTCAACACATCCGCGATTTCAGTCAGTGCAACATCGTTCTTCAGGAAGTCCTTGAGAACACCCTGCTTCTCCTCGCTCAGGATGTCCTCTGTCAAAAGCCCTTTGATTGTTGCCGTAAGGGATTCCCGATCGAATGGAGCGTCGGTTTCAAAGATATCCCGGCTATTCTCTTCAATCCTCTCTCTCAGCGCCTGCAACTGCTTCAGCTCTTCATCGCCCGGGAAAAGCTCGTCGAAGAACGCATGAATCTCCTCGGCGCTAGTCTCAAGCGGAGTAAAGACTGTCTCTTCAAACTGGTCAACAAGCTGCTGCAATCGCTGCTTCTGTCGCTCATCAATGACCGCATACTCCTCTTCATCAATGACTCCGTCTCCACCTCCAACCTCACCAGCATTCGTCCACTCTGTCAGCAGCCGAGAGTACAGGTCCGCGAGGCTCAACTTCCGACTATGTGCGTCCAAGCGAGCCCGAAGGTCGATCTCATACTCGCGGAGCATGCCATCCGTAATGGAGGGATCGAACCGGTGCTGGTCCAGCCAGCGTTCGATGTTTCCGACCGTGGTGTCTCTTGACGCAGTGGGATGGATGGCTTTGGTTCCGGTGAGGATGACACGAACCCGCGAGAAGAGGTCGAGCTGGTCGTCAGCTTCGGTGAGGATCGATGCTTTTCGAGCCTCGTATGTCGAGCGCTGTTTCTCCAGCTCGCGGATTTTGCTGCGCGTGAGCGACTCAAGGGTCTGCGAGAGGGCTGAATTCTGCGGTGCCATGGTTGATGGCAATCAACGATTGAACAAGAAGATGAAGTTGACTTCAGGTCTCTTGTGCCGTTAGCTATTTATCATGTCGCTCAGGCTTATGGTGGGATGCTCCAGCCATTTATCCCCTCATCAGCCCAACACGGCGCCAGGCGCCAATGGCTGCCTTGTGAATACGAGGTTCGAGCAGTCCAAGTGGCAGAATCTTTTGAGAGCGCGACATGACAATGAGGGCGTCGAAGATTGAAGGAAGGCAGCATTCTGGTGCCTATGATGTGGGGAACTTGTCAGGTAGATTGTTGAAGTTGACGCCTGGCAGTCCGCTGCAGCCTGAGCATTTATGCAGGGCACATTTGTCACCAGGCTTAGTGCACGCATCTCGGGTTATGCATCTCACAGCCCAGCCAATGACAGTCCGTTGCAGATCTAATCCGGCTGCCGAAGTATATCAACAAGCCAAGCCATTTTTATGGACCGCAACCATCCTCCGAGGGACCCTTCTAGCAACAGAATCAGCATTAATAATGCTTGGTCATCTGTCAGCACTGGGTGGCAATCCGGAACTATACCGCGAAACCCCCTATAAATTTCTCTTCTCCCTCCCGGTTTGCTCCCTCCAAACTTCCCTCTTCCACCTCCCCTTCTTCCTCTTCTTCCTTCTTTTCATTCTTCCTCTTTCTTCTTCCTCTCCTTCCTCTCCCTTCTTTATCCTCTTCCTTCTTCCTTCCTTCTTTTCTTGTTCTTTCCTTCTCTCTTTCTCCTCTCCCTCTCCTTCGCCCTCTCCTTCTCTCTCTCCTTCCTCCTTAGATAGTTTAGAATAGTTTCACGGTCGATAGGTTACGGTCTCTAGCTTAGATAGTTCTAGCGTTTTGGCGTTCTGCTTTTGAGATTCAACATCTCCTTGCGTTTTGTTTTTGTTTTTGTGGTTTCGTGCTTTGCACACAGGGTTTATGCCCGGGTGGGCCTTGAGGCTCGCCCTCAAGGCCGGCCAACTCCAGCCCCTCGGGGTATACTTCTTCATTCTTGAAGTGTTCCTCTCCGGAGGATAATCCAGCATTCTCCTGCTTCTCTTCTAGTCTGAGTCACAGACTAAGAGCCTACGCAGTTGAGAGTGCCTCGGGCTTCGGCTAGTGCAAGTAGAACATCTGCTTTGTCAGCCCTCTAGGTGCAGGTGCATCATGTTGAACCAAGCAAAGTAAGATGCTTTCGGCCATGTTCTAAGCCGAGCTCGTGGAAGCAGTATGCTATCGACGGTGTTCTAAACACCCGTCCTCCATTGCACCAGAGCCGTTGGATGTGGGTTGGCTCCTCTCCCTCTTCCATCGCATCCTCCAAAACCGAACAATACCATGATACCCACACCCCATCGCAATATAAAGCGCATCGACCCCATTTGCAAGCTTTGCAAAAGCATCCACATTCCCCTGAATTAGTACCTCAACGGCAGCCTGATTTCCCGTCGCAGCAGCCAAACGCAACGGCATGCTCCCCGATCCCTGATGAACACTAGTAACATCCGTACCGGCCGGAATCAAAAGCCCTAGGATCTCCGCATACGTCTCCCTCTCGCCAGGCCGCCATTGTTCCTTGCGACAAAGCAGGAAGCTAGTTCCAGCCTTGCCCGCGAAATTCCGGACCCAGAGGGTCGCGGATCCGAAGCGCGCTTCCGCCACGGCCTGTAAAACCAGCAGCGGCGCGGGCCTAGTGTGGCTAGTACTATTGTCGGAACAATCCATATGCAAGGAAACTTGAGCGTTTGGGTCGGCACCGGCATCGAGTAAAAGTCTTACAGCTTCAACCTGTCCCCTGGCGGCAGCTCCATAAAGAAGCGTGAGCCCGGACGCCAGGGTCCACGGGAGATCCTTGTCGCCGCCGTGCTGCAGTAGGAGTGCCAGAGCACTCGTGAAGCCGAGCTCAGCCGCTGTGTTAAGTGGTGAGGTGACGTCGTAGTCAGGCGGTTGGGAGTTGTACGGCCTTCACGTAATTCATCCGGACAGCGACATCGAGCGGTGTTCTTGCGACGCCATCATGTTCATGGACGCTCGCGCCATGCGCGATGAGGAGGCGTATGATTTCGAGGTTGCCGCCGGCTACGGTGTTTAGAAGGGGTGTTGTGTCCGTCCAGCTCTCTGGAGCATATCGTATACTGGGATTTGCGCCTGCGTTGAGAAGAACCTTTGCTGCTGCTTCGTAGCCTTCTTGTGTTGCTGCATATAGGAGGCTCACACTTTGTCCCTGGGCGTCCGAATATTATGTGTCAAGACCATCTTCCGCAATGAGCGATAGGGATAGGGGGGATGTTTTAAGGAGCGCGACTTTGTCCCGGACGTCGAGGTAGGAGAGTATCATGGATTAAAATTCTGGTGGGTAGGTTTTGGAACAAACGCTTTTCCCTTTGTGTTGTATATTCCATTACGGGACAACTTGATGAATTGGAGATTCAACTGAAGCTAGGGTGCCAATTGCGCACCGTTATAGATGTACTCATGAGTGGGGGCTAAAAGAAACTAGACAAAATCTGCAATACTAGGTAGGCATTAAGCTAGGCTGCCTAGATCAGCCACTTGCGATGTTTGTTTTTACAAGCACCGACAACTCTATTAACATCGGCTTCACCATTCGGAGAACATCACTAGATTGGCCCAATGAATTGAGAATATAACTTAATTAATGCCTGCAGCTATTGTGTTGAAGGCCGTGAATAATTATTATAGAGTTTCTGGCACAAAAAACACATTTTCTCTTTCGCGTATTGGCTCTTTAAAGAGCACCTGCAGGGAAGAATAATCTTTTAATTTAACAGTGAACAAAGGAGACCTCAGGACTTCCAAGAGATCGCCCGTAAAACCTGGCAGGTCTCGGATTTCAGCGCGGAATTTAAATGTCTCAAAGAGCAGAAAGTTTTCGACTGCGGCAGTTGCGAGTATGTGCCGCACAGGATGTCCTGGAGGGAGATCAGATGCGGAATATAAATGCTCACTCAAGACATGACGAACGTTTCGATCATTGTCAGAGCTATAAAGATTGGAAGAGGCATCCGCAATCACGCTTTTAATGTCCTCGGCCACGGACGCCTCGGCCTGGGTGACACCGACCATGTCGAGAAACTTTGCAAACTCGATGAGACCGGAGATCTTCTCAACTTCGGTTTCTCCTCGGACTGTATAGCGCCGAAGGTATAGTCATTCCAACAGCATATCAAAGCTCTGGCTAGAGACAACGCCCTCAACTTCCTCCAGCACCGCGGACTGGTCTCGTGCTTCTTTGAGATTTCCATCAAACATTTTTGTGAAATAGGGCGAATGCTGGCAGAGGAGTGCTTTGGACACCTGATGGGTCGACCCTCCAATAGTGATGAGGACGCACGGCCCGTGGTAAAGGGGCAAAGACCTTGATTGCAGAATTAGCGATAACCCTGTGTCTACTCCGTGAGCGTATCCACAACGTACCTGGCAAATTCCGGCGACGATCCTTGTTCAAGCTCACACATCGATCCAGCTTTGAGCCTTGGGCAAGAATCAAAAAAAGAATGTCGGAATTCGGTTTCGAGAAGAACAAGAATAATGGGGATGGGCGTCTTTAATGGAGAAAAAGGCTGTGTGCAGGCGGGGACCGACGTTTATACTTAGATGATTGGACAGCGCGGGAAAGCAACTCTGGCGAGCGGGAGAGTCACCAACCATCATGCTTCGCTCTCAGCGAAGCCGGCCCATGCTACAAGGGTCTGACCGATGCGACCTGCACTCTAGTCCTTGTCCATGATTGCCAATACGTAATCTCGATCGGCGACTGCTAATCCGTGAGCGATTGCCAACTCGCTCCGCAATCTGTCTCCACTGAGATATACCGAGCCAAAGCTCCTCAACCAGGGTCTGGACCTAGTCCTGGCGAGCTGCTAAGCGCTGGCAATCTACCTCCGTTGCAACGTATAAACCCAATGATAAACGGCCGGCGCCTTCGCCCCGGACGCAGTCAGACCACCAGGCGCTTCAATGGGCATCCGCGCAACAACCTCCCAGTACTCAAAGAGCCAAGGCACATCCTCGAACCTGAAGGCCGAGTACGAGAGTACAAACCACCTCGATCCCTTCTTCGTCAGGGGTACAAGGTGCAAACCCAGGAGCTCAACCGACGACAACGTTATCTCTCCGTCTCCATCCGATTCTTTTGCGTTTGTAAAGGTATCCTGGATTATCGGGCAGACTGACGACGGTTCGGATGGGTCGGTGTTCAGCGTCACGGGGGTAGACGTCGCAATGGCATCACTCGTGCTCTTGTCAATGATCGCGTCGAAGGGACCGAGAGGGCCGAGTTTCGAAACATCGAGCCACAAGCGGAGATCCGTCTGTACCCAGTGCATCGCGTGCGCGGTGTCCTGTGTCCTCTCGCCATCGCGACCGAGACGAACGGCTTCGGAGGAGAAATCGGCGTTCTAGGGAACGAAACGCGTCAATTCAGTCGACCGGTCGCCAAAGCCTAGCCAAGCCAAAAGAATCGGAGAGATCCTTACCACAATCCCACTTCCCCTCCATCCCCGCGCGACAAAAGCATCGCGGACTCTACCTCCAAGCTTCGAGATCCCAGGGCCAAGATGGAGGACTCGCGGTGCGGCTTTCGCGGCTTCCGCGGCCGACCGGGTCTCGAGGAAAGAGATCAGAGCGTCCAGCAGGATTTCGCCGGCGTTCAGCCATTCGCCGACATCCTGGCCGGTCGCGAATTTCCGGTCCCAGAAGCTTGGGTCATCGTAATCGGGGGCGCCGGTTCGTTGGGACCGGGCGTTGTCCGCTCGCAATCGCATTCTCTGGAGTCTGAAGGATTATGGCGGGGTGCTAAGGGAAATGGGGCACGGGTTTCGGCGCCGCGGAGATGGTTGTTCACGTGATTTGCCAAGAGTTGAAGAAATCGTTGGTTCTTGTTGAGGGACCCACGCATGCCCTAACTCTTTGACTCTGAGATAGGGGAGGGATTTCGAGGTCTAGGTATGTACATCGAATGGCTACATGTAGGTCACTAGGTCTTGATCTAAGCTTGTAAGACACTACACTTGTCTCGGAGAATGAGGGAAGTCTATGAGCAGAGAAAATTGAAGCAGATATATATCTTGAAGCGAACAACACAAAAGGCGAAATTATATCCAGTAAAAGCTTGACAGGGCAAGAGAAAACCACGGGCTACGCACTAGGCTCTAGGGAAGGCACATAATTCTCAACGGCTCTGACCTCCGGGGAAGGATGATAATAAATACTCAAGTAAACGCCCGTCTTCTCCGAGTACGTGAACGAAATCCACATGAGCAAGCTCGATGTCTTCGACAAATCGACTCCGGGACTGGAGAGAAAGAAAGTTAGCAACGGCCTATCATTGAGGAAGAGGCTTGGACTTCATACTAGTACGACTGCACCGTGTCCCGATACGTAGCCGCCATGTCATCCCACCCGATGAGCTTGAAGTAATCGACGATCTTCTGAATACAGACCGCATCGTTGACACCCTGCAGCGGGAAGTAGGGCTTGCCGATGGGCAGCGAATTGGTGGCCGTCATCTCGTAGTTCCAGCACAACTGCGCCACACCCTCGGGGATCTGATGCGCATTCGGGGGCATGTCTCTCTTGCCGATGTTCTTGAGGTCAATGACGTCCCAAAGCTTCTTCAAATACTCCAACCCCTCGAGGTGCTCGGGGCTGCGTGCGCGGCCATCCAGCGTCCAGAGCTCCTCGACCTTCTGTATATCCGCGACCTCCATAAGGTACATGTAAAACTTGAGACGAGATTTCGCGGGCGCGACGTAATCCCACGCCAAGAGGTTGTGAAAGCCCCAGTTGTTGATCGACTCGACGTAATCTGCGAGATGGCCCCAGGCCTCGGTGCAGTCCAAAAGCCCTCGCGTCTTTAACTCGTTGATGCCACCATCGAGGAGTGTCTTGACCGATTGGCCGGCCAGGGCGGCTTTGAGACCTGGATAGCTGTACCCCTTGAGCGTGACATTGTCTGCCTTAAAGTCGAATCCGAAGGAAAATTGCGAGTGTATCTTGTCACCAAGCGGGATCTCCTTGGGCAGCCGGACCTGCTCGTCCGCGTTGAGTGTATGCTGCGGTTCGAAAAAATCATAAAACAGTGGATCGAATCCCGCGAGCCCAGATCTCGTAAAGTGAGCCACCATTTCCGCCGGCGGGACCCGGTTGAAGGGGTCCCTTTCCGTGCCCGAAAACGAATCGTTGGGCTCAGCACCAACGCGGACCATGGAGTGTTTGCCGTCTTTTTGGTAGTTGATGCTGAACTCCATGGGGAGACCGCTGACGGTTAGGCTGGAGCGGAACTTGACCGGGTTTGAACCGAGACGGGGGATCAGCTGGCTGTAGTAAAAGGCGAGATGCTGGTATTGTTGAGCGATTGTGTAGTTGCATGAGGCGAGCATCGCTGCCAGCAATGCACCCGTCGTATGCCACCATTGTTCCTGGTCACGGGTTGGGAAGGACAAGGCGGTGGTCAGGACCTCAAAGGGGGAGCGGGAGTCCTCTCCTGAGGAGGACCGAGACTTGGGCTCAGATGGAGCTACCATTTTGGTTGATTCAATTGACTGAGAGGGCAAAGAAAGCTGTCTGATGTAGTATTACTTTGTTATCGACGAGAGCGAAGACAAAAGAGAAGGCCGGTTTCTCCTCAGACCTCCGAGGTATGGCCATATATTTCAATCCTGGCCGACTGACCTGACCGTACGACAGCCTTTTACCCCTCGTGTTGCCTTCCAGCCTGGTCATGCAGCCGACAATGTTCGATTGGCCGCTTGCCACATAGAAAAACAAAAACATTGTTCCTGTTCATGCAAGCGACAGGCTCCACCGGGATTCTGAGTAAGATTAAGCGAAGCCCAACCCGTGACGGCAGCAGGAGGAGTTTGAAACTCAGGCATTTCAGCAGTCGCAGTTTATAGGGTGGCGTTCGACAGCCCGGCCAATATTTCCCTATGTCCATGCCGAACCTGCTGTGTCACCTTCAAGGCGTCGGTGAAGAGGGCCAGCCCATCAGGTATCTCTGCGATTGGTCACAGCCATCGGAGCTGCATCACATCGGAAGTGAGAAGTGGATCTGTAACGATCCGCTGACTCGATGCTTCTATTGTTGGGATAAGTGTTCGAGTCGCGACTCTCGACATGTCACGTCCGGCGGCGGTTGCTGTTGTCGCCGGTCGGCTGGACTGCGTGCGTCGGGTATTCTTGAAGGAATCGACGCGTCACACAAAAAAAGCGACACTTGCTCCTTCACCCAAGGCACCTGAAGAAACTAAGACTTGGCATACTTGACATGCTCCATACCTTACTTGGGATCAGGCTGAGCCTCACAACTGGGAAAGAAAGAAACAGACCATGGACGAAACAGCGCAGCGAATGCAGTTGTCGCAATCCACGTGTATTAGCGATTGCAAATGCGGCCGGCATTGCAGAACCGGAAGAGATTTAAGAGAGCCTTGTCGCTTGCGATTGACTCGATGGAGTCGGTCAGGATCGAAGAAGACGATGCGTATCCGTACTGCAGGTTGGTTGGCCGTAGAGGAAGGAGGAGCGGTTCTCTTGGGGTACTTAGGCGATTGGGGAGGAAATGTCAACAAAAGAAACCCGATTGGCCCGGGGCCGCTTTGAATCGTTCTCGATGGTAGGAAAGCAGACATGCACCATACTGACATGAATGCCACACAATCGCACCAGTGATCGTAACCTTGGCCAGTGCTTGATGGTAGGGTACAGTTCAACGCGCCAACGATAGGCCATGGACCAAAGGTTTGATTGGGATGCCCGTAGTTAGCCCTGGAATGAGATTATAATTATATTATATAATAATATTCCTAGACATCGAATCAGTAGTGAACAGTCCTTATACTAAGATAGGTAGTAGCTGGCGTGTACCTTTCTATGCCCGTCCATGGTCTGGTTGGAAGAAGGAACTGCGGGATATGCTTTGCTCCTTCCTAAACATAACGTAGACGTCTCCATACACTCCCAGTAGATACTGACCATGGTCGGAACTCTTTTCCTTCATCAAACATTCCCCCCCGCAACACCCCGCCAAGCTCCTCCGCTACCAGACCAATGTGCGTACTCGGACATGGCCGAAACACGGTGTCTGACCTAACTCGCTCTCAGGTCCGAACAAAACTCTCCCTTGACTCCGACTTCTCCCCCTCCTGAGGGAGCCGCCCCCCCTCCCTCAACGGCCAACGAGGTACGCCCGATACGATGGGACCTTGCAGCAGACGGAGATACTCACAATTCGGCCAGGGTCGCGTCGACAGCCCCCCGCCCCCCTACTCTCCCCCTCGCGTATGTCGATCGCTGTCTGAGATAGGGAGAGGTATATCTAACGTCCTGATAAGTCTCCCCCTCCGGCCGACTCGGCCATGGACGGTATTGCCCTGCTGCTGGCGGCAGCCAGCATTGCCGGCCCCCCGTCTCCACCGCCGCCGCCTCCGCCGCCTCCTCCGCGCTCCCCCGCCCCGGCCCTGCCCTCTCCTCCCCCGCCCAAAAGGGCCAAGCACAAAAGTAAGTGGCTGGACACTGTACGGCGCCTGTGGGTACTAACGGATGGCAGAGCGGGCCCTGTGCCCGAAGGGGTGTCGCGGCCTGGAGCACCAGGGGGAATGCCGCTACTATTGCAAGCTATGCCGATGCCGGCATGAGGGGAGATGCCCGGGTGGCCGCAGCCGCCGCGGTGGTGGTGGTGGTGGTGGTCGGCGGGCTCAGCGCGGGGGAAGGGCCGTTGAGTGGGTTTGTTAATACTTGTTAACCAAGTATTTTTTATTGTATATATTTACCATGACAATAAGAACCATTGAAAAGTGAAGATTTTAGTTCCATAAGTCATATCAACCATCAAACTTTCACCCCTGAGCAAATACCCAGCTTGCTCGTCACACCAAACGCGGGGATGCGCCAAGAAACCGGGGTCAGACGCAATGGAGATTATTCATTCGACAGCTGAGAAGCGGGGTACCCTCCATCACCATATCCGTCCAATGACCGCAGGATATTGCTAAGCCAACCATTCCTCCTTGACGAACGCAGCTAGGCCGGCGGTCCGTGGGCTGACACTGACAAAGTGGCAGCTGAAAAGTCCCACTTTCAAGCGATGGCCGGTGGAGACCTCTCGTGGATCCGGGGTAGCCTGCCCCAGCGCCCCAGAAGGAGGAATGGCATGCCCGCTGAAGCTTTGACGGTAGGTCCACACGGTCCACAATGATAACCTAATGGAGATGTCATTTCGACCACATACGGTATTGTTCTGGGCAGTATGTTTGATCAAGGTGAACCTAGGATACTTCGAGGGAGAAAGTCTCGTTCGAATCAGCCCACGCACGCATCCCTGGAACGCGCAGCCGCTGACGCATCGCGCGACGATATGAGTGGCCTGAGGTGCGAGATGTGATTCATGCTTAGGTGGCCGGGCATTATTACGCTTGCTATATGGTTGGGTGAGTTGGGTTCCCTTGCGTTTTGCGAGTGGCATTGGATTACTCCGTATTGGGTGTAACCTGGTGTCTTGGTCGCGTTTGATACGGAATGAGGTCACGAGTTTGCCCCTTGCTGGGAGTACGGGGTACTCTTGGCTGCCCCTCCAAGGATTACAGAATTACGAGGCTGAGCAGGCTATCCTTATGAAGATGAAGTTTCATTTATCCATTTCAGTATGTTTGTAGAGAAAAGTCAAAAACAAATAACGCCGTCATGATTCCCATTCCCATGACTTCCGTTCCCATCAGGTTGTTCCGTCCCAGTGCTGCCCATATGAATCCGCATCCGTATCCGTAAGAACGAATGAAATAAGTTGTAATAATAAATGATGCCGTCTATCAAAGACAGTCCAGTTCCGCCTCTAGATCTAGGCTCAACCACGTCTTGAAGTAAAGTATGGCGAAGAGGAAGAGACGGGCGGGGCTACACAGGCACCCGCCGCATCATCTTCATTGTAAGGAAAACCGCGACCGCCGTTGTGTATGCTCCGGTTCCAGCCGTGATCCAGACAGGACGGTGAGCGACGAAGGAGGTTCCGACGAGGGCGGCTCGCTGGCGGCGCTTCTCTGTTTGTTGTTAGAATGCAAAACGAGGGGGATAAAGGATGGGCAAATGGACATACCGGTATTGACGAAGCGGTTTCGCAAGGTCGCGAGCTGGGTCCTGAACCATCCTCCAGCGGGACCGCTGGAGATGCTCTGGACGACTTGGGGTGCAGACATCTTGATGGATTCTCAACTGGTGTATTCAAGGGGGATAGAGGAGTTGTCAGAAGAGATGAGTTGTCATAGACAGTGATGAAGAGATGAAAGTCAAGTCAGTGACCTCTTGACGAAACAGCTGGGTCGCACAAGGTTTATAAGTCATCGGGTTGCGGGGTAAGTCACTGGACGTTGCCGCTCAGTGTGAATGTCATCCAGCATTCCTGTGCCTTCTTTGTCCGTGGCTATTGGACCATTTGGCGGCTGTGGCGAGTGAATGGCGCCTTGGTTGTCGAGTCAATGACTATGGGTGGAATACAGCGGCAATGAATAGCATGCAAGTGTGCTCTGATGGATGCGGAGATCATCTGCATGAAACATCCGTTTTCGAGTCTTGCTATGTACGTTTCATGGCTTTGGATAGGCGGTGATCGTGTGCTTGATGCCAGGTTACGTCCCTTCCCAAGTTATAGGTAACGCTCTCTATGTGTTACCTCTCCGGGCGGGCTGATACCTTACCTTCATCAGGCTGTGGCTGAATCACCAAATACAGCTAGCAACGGGATGATTTACATCACAGACTGTCTTTTACTCCGGAGTATTTCCAAGCCAAGCCATGGGTGGGTGGTCTATAGTTGTGGTACAGCTATAGGCTGGGTTCTCCTTTCCGCGGATGCCATCCATCCCTGCCTCCACTCAACTTTCCTTCACCACGCCGCTTTGTTAAGGTCCATATGAAGGCTTGCTCCTCCTGGTAGGCATTATTTCCTTTCAATAGTCTGGCATCTCTCGACCTGACTGACGGTGATGTGGCATGATAGTCGTTTTCTAAGTCCTTGATACACCTCTCCGATAACCACGTATGAAACGAGGAAATCCCCGCTATTGCAGCAAACTACAATATTCGCTACGCCGGCCATTCGAAGAGAGCGAGGGTCCGATACTGTTTATAAGACAAAGCCCTTTCCAATTCAATCGCCGATGTCACCCTTGAGGACCGTTGACGTGTGCTTCGGCGTAAGGCATAACGGAGACATTTTCCCATGGCCTGCTCGATATCAAACTGGCCACGGTCCGAATTAGGTGTTATTAGAACTGGTCCGTTTAAAAGAGCGATTACGACCCAGGCCAGCCGTACTAGCTCAGGCATACATGCGAGAACAGGGTTGGATGTGGAGATCACAATTAGCGGGTGGGTACGATGATGTCTGGACATGCTGAAGTATATCAGGCATGACCTCCACCATGGCAATCGGCAGCCAGATCTATATGACGGTGGCTCGGGATCTGCACCTCCACCTTCACAAAGCTTAGAACCATCCGTGACGCCCATCTTGGCGAGTCCAAAGGCCGATCTGTTCCTACTGCTATATCATTCTGTCCATACTAATGAGCCATTATCTGCACTAGCCCGGTCCATCCTTTCCCCGACCCTTGGTTACCTTGAATTTCTGTGAAGAGCATTCGAAGTGACCCTCCAATTGATGATATATACACGGAGGTATTAAAGCTTGGGGCCAGAACCGATGGAAGCATTATGGGATTGGCCATGGTCGACCTAGCCCTGAGACCTACGTCCATGGCTCATGCTGTAACACGCTCTAAAGCGATTTTACAACGGCGTCTTGGTCTTCATGCCCTTCCCTGGGCTTAGGGCTATTTCAGCCACGGATGGCTCGCAGCATGATGTTCCGACTACAACCCTAATTCTTTCTCCTCCCTAGGCGCTTAGCCCTAACGCGATATTTGATCTGAGCCTCAACGCGCACTCAGCTTTCGCCTCGCCGTGTCTCCGGCCGGGTGCATTGCACAGATCTCATCGACCGCTTTTTTGAGGAAGTCACTGAAGTCAAACTGCGGATCTTCTATTTTGCTGAGCTGCAGCAAACGATAAACGTCAAACTCGAAACTCGGAATGCCGTCATCAAACTCCCAAATCGTCGCGGCAGCGTATTTGGCCAAAGCATTGCCAGCAGATTTATTGTGAGCTCTGAAGGTCTCACACAAGGCTCGAAAGGAATCGAATGGCTCGTCTAGCCCTTTGGCCATCATGCCAAAATCCTCCGGACTGTCATCCAGGAACTCGGCAATTGAGCCGTGGGCGAATCTGACAGGTGCCCTGAAAGTCAGCTCGGGCTGCTGTGGATCGTCAACAATCTCCAGCAATCCTGCACAGATTCCTTTGACTTGGTGCCGGACATTTCGGAGGCGATTCCCAAGCTGGTCTGGAGACATTTGGGGCAGATGGCCGTCCGCAAAATCATGATTCTTCTGGTATTCCTCAAGAAGGGAAAGGCGTAGGAGCGGGCACGGCCCATGGGAAGCGAGCACAAGTGACAGGAATCGGTCGGCCTGGACTTTGTCTTCATCCTTGATTGATTTTAGAATCGCTCTGAACATCTCACTAAGAGTTTTTGGAAGCGCGGTTGCCTTCTTCCAGAGGGTTTCCAGCGCGTTCGCGTTGTTCAATCCGTCTACCACATCACGAAGGATAAAGGAAACCCAAAGAAAGATGCCGTCAGACTTTTCGATTATCAGTTGCGCGAGTGTTTCCGTCTTGAGTTCGTTCACGTCCTCGTCTTCGTCACTCAAGTCCTCCATTTCCACAGCGAGCGTATCCCTGACGAACTTGGCGATACCTCCACGGCTCACCGTATGGAGTTGAAGGAGTGGAAACTTTGCTAGCTTCCTCTGAATCACGGGAATCTCTCTACATGCCAGGCATATCTTGACATTCGAGTTGCCATTGACCCAGTCACGCAGCTCACGCACCGGATCAGTGACGCTGAAGTCGGCCAGGGAGTTGATTTCATCTATGCCATCGATGAAGATGACAATCTTATGGCCCTTGTAAACCTGAGGAGAACTCTTCAGGGTCTCAAAGGCTTTTTCGAGACTGTTTGCATCATAGGACAACATTTCATGGTAGAAGGTACTTGCTGCCCACTCTGCTGGGAAGAGCAAGGGGATGAGGTTGGGGGAGTCCGTCAAAATCGAATGCAAGAGAGTCCGTACGAGGCCGCTCCGACTGCGCTGCAGACTATTTGTTCCGTCCTTCTTCAGAAAAACCCTTCCCATAACCAAGGATATCTGGCTGTCGTCCGCTTGCGCCCACTCTGTAAGGTACGCCCTGGTCTGGCTATGACCAGAGACCCACCTCATCACGACGGACTTTCCGCACCCTAGCTTTCCGCAGATTTGGAACAGCCTCTGTCCGGGCTCTCTGAGCCACTCAATGAACCTCGTGCGCTCATTCGCGATCATCTCGTTGTAGCCTTCATCGCAGTCCGCCAGAGGACCGGTGTCGTTTATCAGCCAGTCGAGGGATGCGTTATGCTCTGCGCCGATCTCCCCGTATCGTTGGTTGATCTCAGAAAAGCTTAGGGCTTCGAGGATCCTCCTGGATCGGTGAGCCTGGTCGTTCGCGTCGGTCACTCTCTTTAATAGTTCTTGCAGTTTCGTCACTGTCTCGGGGTAAAGGGTCTGCGACTCTCTTCCTTGGGTGAGCGCTTTGATAGACTTGTGCATGTCCTCGAGCTTATCTCGATTGGAACAAGCGTAGGAAATGAGCCTTTGGAAACTTTCGTCGGATTGAAGCCTAGGGAGAATGATTCTTGTTAGTGACCGCAAGCCTGGAAAAGAACCTAAGGGCCACTTACAGAGTGTCTTTGCTAATAAGGAAATGCAGTTGACCTCGATACCCTTCAACCGTTCGCTTCAGAGTTTTCACTCTATTTTTGTTCCAAAGCGCCTTGAATGCCGCCCTCCCTGCCTCTCTCTTGGAGTTGGGGTTCTTTGCTTTTAAATCGTCGAGCAAGGCAAGAAGCTCACCAGAAGCCGCATTGCATTTGCTCACCATTGCAGTCCATTTTGAATCTAAGAAAGTTGCACCGTGCAGCTTCTTCAGGTCCGACACTGCTGTTTGGAAATTTTCCGCCTCCTCTGCATTGGCCACGTTGTCTGCTGTTTCCCCTGTGGAGGAGCCATGGATCTGTGACGCGACTCTTGTGAGAGTTATGGCGAAATCCACAAACGCGACGACGGCCGCCGCGACACCCAATGCTGTGATGGGATCCATTCCAAAATCAATAGCACTTGGCAGCTACCTATTCTCAAAGCGGCGCTCACGTCGTCGGACGCGGTTTGGGGAGGGACGGCAGTGCGGGAAGCAGGTGGTGAGATCAATGGATGCCGAAGGGCGGGCTCGCTGGGATAATACGTTGTCGGACACGAGGACTGCAAGGTGGAAAGGATGTGAGAGAGAATAACTGTCAGCGAGACGATCTGGGGAAGATACAACAGTGGGAGAGGATACTCTGGAAAGAGAAGACCTGGGGAACGGATGAACCGCCAGGGAAAAAAGAAGAAAAAAGAATTGCGAGAGAAGAGGAAGCAGCTGCTTCCAAGAGCGAACAGCCCCTGACCCTGAGGATGCCTTAACTTTCACAGTGAGACATTGCTGAAGCTGAAGCCAGCACCCGTTTGCCCAAATGGCCACCGGGACAACAACCAGGGACCACAACACCAGGCCCTTCACCATCCGATACTCAATAGAAAGGAAGGTCGTTTTTTGGACCAGTCATGCCAACCTCGAAATATTGAGAACAGCAATAGTTTTGCCTTGATGGTGGTCACCTGTGATCTGGCCCAGGAGTTGATTTGGAGTGGAAGTGTGCAAACGGGCCGTCCTGGCCTTTGCCCAACTCCCGAATTAGCGATGTTTCACCCCACGGGGAGCTGACGACGGCTGAGTCCCGTTAAACTGGCCCTTGAGTCAAGACAGTCAGCACCTAGGCTGCAAATCCAGACCGTCTTTTCACCTATTAGCTCATCTTCTCACCCACTGTTTGATCCTTAGTAGTGTTGCAGTCTCCAGCAGCAAAGCCCTCCTGCTAGGTCAGAAACGACAAGCCCAAGTCAGACTCCAGCTCTGCAAGATGACGATAGTCTCGCAGATGAGACACCAGAAGCTGCGCACCCATGAAGATTCCTGAAGTAGTCGACAAGTCTTACATCACGCCTTGAGCTGTTGTCAGCAGCAACCAAGCGTCACAGGAATAGCCATATAGCAAAGACCTATAGGTCAGCGATTTCTGTCATCAAATTCGCGTTTGAAACGGTATGTCTGACTGGCAAGTTGTGCTCCAGGACAGTTGGAGAACGGAATTTCTCTCAAGAAGCATATCTATCCTGCAGATAATCGCGAGATTATGGATCAAGGTGCATTCTACGCTGACAGGATTATGACTGAAAAGTACCATGCATTCCCAACCATCCTGATCTACGCGTTCTGAGCAGCTGCAGCAGACGTCTCATTGAAGCTAAAATTAGGATGCTAACAGACCAAACAAAATCAATAACGCGAGTTCGACCAGAAAAGCAATCTCGGACCAACACAACACTTAGCCTTACACAAGCCACGGAAACCTTTGCTTCTCGTCATCAGCGAGGTCGAATTCGGGGAGCTTCTTCTGAACGCACAGCTCAATTGGAAAGCCGCCCTCTTCCATCAACTTATCTCGGAGCTTCAAAAGAGCAATTTGGTAAGGGCTTCCGCCCCAACCACGATGGCGCCTCACGGAATCGGGAAACTCGCCTCCGTGCCATTTGAAAGCCCGCTCGAAATCAGCTGCTGTATGCCAGAGGCTTGCAATCTTTCCACCGGCGCCCTGCGCCTTCTTCCATTGCTCCCTCATACCCACGAGCATGCTATTCCACATAATCCACCGCGACACACTGCCGTCACCGAATTCACGGCAGTCCCGCATCCAAAGCCAACACAGAGCTTCTATCAAGCGACCCGGCTTCAGGATCCGCACCGGATACAGCCCGCGCCACGGCCCACAGGGACCACCCTCCTCGTCATCCTGGTTCGCGCCTCGCTGTGGTAAGCACCGATTGGTTGAAACGGTGAGATAGGCGTGGTTCTTGTCAGGCATATCGAGAGTCATTCGCGGCAGCCACCACAGAAGATCGGTCTTGCGCATAATATGAATAACGACATTCTGCAGCTCTGTATGGAAGTGGTGTTCTGACTTGGGATGTTTGGGCGCCTGAGTGCCTCTAAACGTATAGTCTTCGTGGATGGTCCGGTCTTCCTCTAGCTCGATGCATTCGGGCTCAGTGCATAGACCGTACGGTATTTCATAACCAGGGATACCGGTACTCCTCGATCCCGCGGGAAACGCGGCATCGAGGGCGTCTTTCGCCTCTTCGACTTGGTCATCCTCGACCACAAATATCAGGTCCTAGCAGCGAGGAGAAAAGCGTCAGCGAGTGCAGCAGCGGCAATATCAATAGGGGCGGGGCCAAACTTACTCCGAAATCGGCAGGTTCCTTATAGAAGCCCATTACCTGATCTCCCATAAGAAGGCTGGGGACTTTAGCGTCGTCAAGAATTCGAGCCACATCGGCAGATGTTACAGCGCCGACTGGAAGTTTCTGTTGATCCATGGTGGACGAACTGTGAGTATTCGAATGTTGTGTTTGGTCGTTACAATAGGTTAGAACACAGTACTTCCTTCTGCCTAACAAGAATCTGAGGACCTATTTATGCTGCAGGCACCTGCTCTTATCCCCTCGTCGGCTCTTTGACTCGAGGCTGGCGCCCAACCCTCCCTCGCTCCTTCTCCAATGTCCCAAAGAATCATTGTACCATTTCATCGTGCACCGTCACTCGCTTGTCTTCGATCCCTTCTCCTCGAGTCCTTTGCCCCAGCGATCGGTCCATGGTTGTGTAGCGAGGCTGGCGCCCAACCTTCCCCCGCTCCTTCAACATCGCAAAGAAGCATTGTACAAGAGACATCGTACACAGCGCCTCCCTCCTCTTCGAATCCTTTGTCCCAGCGACCGGTCTGGTCGCCCGTCAATGCAAGCGTAGCCTATCAATCTTCATCTCGACATTAGGTAGCGAAGGCGAGCCTCGTCTAGCCCGGGTCTTTCAATGCGACCCAATCAACTTGAAACTCTGGTCAAAGCATCCAAAGAGACGAATGGTGGAATGCGTCATGCTTCAGGTCAAGGATATGGACAAAGCATTCAAAGCGATCAATGGATGATTATGTGTCGCTGCCTTCATAGTTTGGCTTTTTCAACGACGGCTTATTGCAGGGAGACTCTGAGCAAAAATATACTTTGAATCAGACTCGAAGTGTAACACTCAACTTTCTTCAGATTTCGCTGTCACAATGAAGGTGGTTGAACTCATGAGCTGTGGAAATATTGCCACTCTTCTTTCTCCCAGGTTGAGGCCAATCTAAGGATGTCGTCGATGGGAAAGACGCCATCTCGAGAGGAGTTCCTTTTCCCCTTCCTCCACCCATTGCTGGTAAGTGATGAAGGGTTCAGGCGAGCTCAGCAAAGCTTTTGCCAAATCGCTCTTCTCGAGGGCAACAATGTAAGCACTACTTTCATTACGGCTGTGACTGAATGCAGCATTATGAACTAACTGGATTCATATATTCCCTACGGCCAAGCTGCGTTCAATAGGTTCGTACAAACCGTGCTCTGCTACACCCGGATTACCTACGCCGGCCCCCTCCAGCAGAGGCCAGGCCCAGTTTCAGCGGTGAGTGGCCAGCGCTATGTTTGAGGCTTTGAGCGTTGTTGCTTCGCCGGCTTCTGACCGCGCTCGCGCTTCTTCCTCCCCGTGGGCACGTCCTCCCGTGTTGACTGAAAAGCTCCAACGCAAGTACATCTTCATGATGTGGGCTGTGGTCGAACAAGCGTTGAGCTACATGCTAACAGCGCTTCACGATTGCCATGGCTTGGCTTATGAGGGGGCTTTCATCATCTTCCACAAACTTCGCCAATGGCTGCCATATTAGGGTGAGGTCCTGGTAATCATAAGCATTAATTATCTCAACACAAACTAACCAACAGTGAACAAAGCCAAAGTCCCAGCTTTACAAGATCCACCCCTGGTATTGCTTCAGCTTCAATTTCGCTTCCTCTTTCCCAAACATCTTTTCCCAAGCCCTGAACGTCGCAGGCCTAACTGGCCCAACTGGACCCTCAAACAACCCAAAGGGTTGCACGCGGGCCCTGTACTTGGCCGCCGTCCCCTCTGGGACCATGTCTATATCCTCCAATCTCTGAAGAATGTCCACGACATACTTCTGGCACCGGCCATTCCAAACCCAGGTCACTTCAACTTGCATCTGTTTCTCATCCTCCTCGGACATGTACGTAATGAACTCTCTCGCCCGGTAGCCCCAACTATCAAACCTCATGTTTTCCTGGCGCCACGGCTCATACGTATCTGGCGGGTAACCGTTCCCCATCTCGTAGTGAATACAGCTGTTCGTACCTCGACGCCGGACGAAGAGAGCCCAGTGCTCCGGCCCGTCCGTGGCTTTCGTGCTGGCCCACCACAGTTCCAGCTCTTTTCCCTTCTCGTACTCCATCTCGTTTTCCTTGCTCTCCACCTCGTCTCCTTTACTTTCTACCGCTCCTTCCTCGATCGCCGCGTTCAGACCGACGTGGACTTCGCTTGGGGGTGTGGGTGACCTGCTGAGCATGGGCACATCTGATAGGGTTGACGTTGACGATGACCTTGACGGCATTGTGGTGATGGTGATGGTTTCCGGCGATGCTGTGCCTGGTTGAGTAGCTATAGTTGTCTGTGAATCCATGGCTGCTATATTTGTTCGCTGTGCTTGCCCTTCTCTACTGCTCTTCCTCTTCCTTGATATCTATGAGGCTTCATGGTGGCTATCTACGTGGTATATATAGCTTCGGCATGGGCATAGTCGAGTATAGAGCTGAGCGAACAAGTGGTTGGCTTTGTGCTTCCAATACATAGCAAGTTAGAGCTCCCCCATGCCGCATTGTGCCTTGTCTCGAGGTCGAAACATCCCCATTGTTTTCTTTATGGCGTCTGCGGGAAACCAGACAGCGTCGAAACTCGGGTATTAGAAAGATACACTTTGTACTTTGTCGCGAGCTCTTGGTTTCCTGATACAAAACGGACGTGATACCTTCATATCCATATATATTTGGAGATTCCTCTGGACTCCGTGACGTACGGCTTTGGGCGCGCCATTATCGACGAAACACAGTCGACTTCGGTTTCCTTCGCTGATGTTAAGTTCTGCTTCAGGGGCTCATGGCAAGACCAGGCAAGGCGAATCCGTCATATCTCTATTTAGAATGATGCGTGTTGGAGGTTTGAGAAACGCCATCTGCGCTGCAGGTATCAGGTGTTGTTGACCATTCACCCGTCGGATTATCCTGAGTCGTGGAAAGCGAAGGACACAAACGCCAGAAAGTCTACCATGAGTATCTCGGTGCCCTGTCAAAGCCCTATCCTATCAGTTCTAGACTATCGAAGGCGCCGTTAGATGCCCACCCTCCCACGATGGGTGGAACACCAGAACATTAGGGTTTGGATGGCACCATGCCCGCCAGTGCCAATTCTGGGGAAGCGCTGCATCTCGGTACGCCAAGTCAAAATGCTAAAAGAGCCTTGGGGATTAGGTATCTTACAGCTGAAACCCGATGGTGTTGCGGTTCATGGCTGGACGCCATGCCGCTCACGTTTTACCATACATTGCAAACCCTAGAAAGCCGAACCGGCGAACACACATACAGGAGCCACGCCCTATATAAAATCATGATCTCTCAATTCTATGATCTTCCATCGGACAGACCAAAGGCTATTTATCTATATGGATGCCCCTCCTCAAACTCCGGAACCCACAACCCCCTACTCTCCTTAACCTTCAGCTGCAACCCCTTCAGCAACCCGTAAACCGTCCGAAGCGTGGGCATCGCCACGCCCCGCCCCTCCCCCTCCCTCAACGGCTCGCCAACAATATTCTCAATCTCCATGAACCCGCCCTTCTCCGCATCCTGCGCCATACTCGGCTTGAACGCCGTATCAATCGGATCCCCACGGATCACAATCTCCGGCAGATCCTCGGGGAAGCCAGAGACACCGCACGCCTCGGCGGCCGCCATGATCTCGCGCATGATCGGGCGGACCAAGTCGTCGATGATATGCCTGCTTGCGCGCATGCGCGGCGTGTCCAGGCCCAGGATTGCAGCGACGGGGTTGTACGAGGCGTTGTAGACGAGTTTGCGCCACCGCGCGCGCTTCACGTCTGCGTCGTAGATTGTCTCCAGCTTGTTGGTGGGGTTGTAGACGGCGATCCACCGTTTCGCGGCGTCTTCGCCGACGCCAGGGTCTAAGGTTGCGTTCGGGAATGCCCCGATCCGCTGGATATCTGGGTCGTCGTGGAGGATTTTACCCGGCGCTTGCTGGGTTGCGCCGAGGTAGACGACGCTGCTGAGGATCGGGGTTGAGGGGAAGCGTGCGATTAGCGGGCCCTCGAGGTTCAGGCCGTTCTGGGCGAGGATGATGGTTGTGTGGGATGGTGTGACTGCTGGCGCGATGATCTCTTCGACTGTTGGGCGGACGTCTGGGGTGTTCTTTGTGGTGACGAGGATGAAGTCGAATGGTTGGATGTTTTCTTCTGCGATGTTGGGGATGGTTCTGCGGACTGGTTTTGTAAAGGAAAAGATTAGCTGGGGAGAGTTTGGACGTGGGCTTGCAGTGAGCTGGACGTACTGTTTGCCGGCCTCCACCCCGAGATCTTCCCGTATTGCACCGAGTCGATCTCGAATCCGCCTTTCTCGACCGCGTCGTAGTTGGAGCGCAGGACGGCTGTGACATCTGCCTTGCCGCCTTGCTCGAGGGCGTAGGAGCACATGCATCCGATGCCACCCGTGCCAACGACAAGGACGCGGGCTTTTGATTGAGTGTTAGCCATGCTGGTCGTGTCAGAGGTGTGTGGGATGAGGGTTAGAGTCGTTGCTGTACGGACGCTGCCGCGAAGATTTAAGAAGCTTTACCGTCCTGGCGCCATATCAACAAGTGGGGTAGGAGATAGAGAATTGGAGATTTTGGAGTCGTTCTATATCGTTGATCTCGGCGATGCCTCCCCTTTCCGTTATCGGGAAGGCTACAGCGAGCCAATCGGAGATGCTCCAGCTTTATACCCCCATACTTAGCAAGGATGTATCTCGCTGTTCCTTTCCTTTTGACCTCATTCAGTCTTTAAGCATATTGAAGTTGCATGGGCAATTGATCAATCCAGTTGATTTCGCCCCCGTCTAACAAACACGATCAGTCTAACGAGCGCGGCCCTTGTATAATCGAGTTATCAGACCAATGGTTTACATGTAAATCCTAGCTAGGCTTCTGGGCCTATATGTAAGTAATCGCTAGGGATTACCCAGAGAGTCTCCATCATCTAAAATAAAAAGGAAAGCACATATGGACTACTCACGCCTTTAGTTGTAGGTTTTCTGCTCATCTAGGGGTTCTCTTCCAGAGGAACGGCTCGTGCAACCAAGGTGTCCACGGGTTGATTGATCCCCTTGGCTAACACCCTGGAACTTCTTAGCAAGCTATACATTCTCAGATATCGACGACCCAGGTGTTCAGGCAAAAGCCCGCGCGAACGTCCCACCAAGCTTTCCGCATCCTGGTCTTTGAGGCTCATGTCTTAACTCTTGAGGAGGATACCGTTTCCCAGGTTAGGTATGACTCGACTCATGTCCAGTCGAAGTTATTGTCCAGTCCGCGCTGTGACTGAACCAATCCGACTTCATTTGAAAGTAACCGACTTGCGTATGCAGGGCCGTAAGGCGGGAATATACCTACATATGGTTAGAGGGCTCATGCAGGGAGCCTAGGGTGCTTTGTCACCTCTATAAGCCTGCATATCATGAAAGCTTCGCCAAGTGTCGATTCCAGGCGTATACTTTGCAAGCTGCTTTGCCAGATCCTAGAACGCGCGGAGACCTGAACCTGAAGGGAACGTCCATGGTCTGATTTGGAGACCAGGTGTGTAAAACCCTACCAGAGTTAGCTTCCATCTGTTCCAGTCACAGCACAATAGCCCATGGCCAGCCGAGAGAAAAAGAATGAGATCCATCGGTTTAAGAGAATGGGCCAAAAACAGAAGTTTGACTATCTCGACGTAGGTTTCAAGTAGAAGTCAGGCTCTCAGAGTCCTTCAAAGGAAAGCTGATGGTCAATCCAACTGGGCTCTCGGGCAGTATGGGGGTTTAGTGGCCACATTGCAAGCCTCGCCGCCGACTGGAGAGGTGAACGCGGCGTGAGGCAGCCCTTCCCAGTCTAAACTCGGGCGTTTCTGACTGTTGAACATGGCGACTGTCAAAGAACAGCTGTCTTACAATCATTCATCAGGGCGACTCGAATGTATACCGCGTACTGGGAGTTCCTGACCTCAACCGCCCATACCCATCATGTTGTTAGCTCTGGGAACATCATAATAGGTTTGGCACAGCATGTTGAAACAACACAAAACACTGGAAGAAACCGCGTTGGTCAGCTTCAAGCCACTGATTGCCCATGATTGAGTCTTTTTAACTGCACACCGGTTTGTTCCCAGGCGTATGCAAAAGCTTTCTCGGGTTGGCAACCAAGTAGCACGATGATCACATCAGAAGGACACTCGCCGCCGCCGCGTTTCGCATGACCACCTTTGCAGTCGACGGAGGGTTGCTTCAAGGTCAGGGGACTCTTTGAATCAGAAGCGCCGTAAGCCTGACTGTTAAAGTTCAAGAAGTACTTCTTATCCTGCGAAGCAACGACAAGCCCAGGGAGAAGCGGGCACAGAGTTATCGGCACCGTACTAACCAAACAACGTTAGCGGACACTGATTAGTAAGTGCATTATCCTCACCAGGCAGTACCGCGGCTTCTGGCGGGGCCATTGGAAATTCCACCTTCAAGGATCTCGTACGGTTTAACCCAAATCAACCTAGCTGCGATTCAAAAACAGTCTGTCTTCCTTATGCTTATCCTAGACCATGCACGACAGCCACCTGAAGAATTGCGGAGTCTCAATCGTACCTGCTAACTGGGAAGCTAGATGCGATTGCGAACGGTGTGTCGAATGCCGGCTTGACTAGCACGCTGCGTCTGCTCCTTCGCACTATACTTACTCTCAGAGTAAGCCAAGCGGGTCCGATCATTGAAACCTCCGCTCGATTCCATTGAGCATCATCTTCCAAGAAAGCGAATCAGTCAAGCTAACCAATGATTTATGGAGCAGGGCTGGAGATTGTCCCCAGCTAAGCCTCCCCACACCTTCGAACAGTTAGCCGACACGGATTCTTGGGGCTCGGATGTCGGGTGTCGCGATGGAGCTCGCTTTGAAACCACTCTCTCAACGGTTTCTTTGTTTCCCTGCAGATTGCTGAGTGGTGGGTGAACACACCTGTCATATGTGAACTGGCCACGGCATCCGCTGCATCATCCGATAAATACCGCGCTGATTCCCATGCGTCCTGACTGCCACAATGCTGGCTCGCCGTTTCGCTCGACCAATGCTTCAGGCTAACACCGTCTCTCCCTTCGTCATGTCAGCGCCGACCTTAGCGCAGACGAGAAAGAGGTCTGAATACCTCTTAAAGGCCTCAGAGGCTGATGAAAATGAGAGGTGGCTACACACATCGTTTGTTTTGCGGGCATACACTAACACAACAACAGACTCGACATCCAGCATCGCTTGTTATTGCATATGATGCACCAGAAGCTGCTCCATCCCAACATTCCAGAAAACCTCGAACGGGTTGCGGACATCGCCACCGGAAATGGGTGCGTTCCTATTTCTTCAACGTCAAAGCGCATTACACAATGACTCATATAACCAGAGACTGGCTGTTTGAGCTAAACAAGGCACGCAATGCGTCAAAATCACAATCCTCGTCGGCATCACGACAAACGAACTATCATGGTTTTGACATTTCAGCCTCCCTGTTCCCAACGCAATCAATAGCAGACATCGACTTCTCCGTGCATGACTTTTACAAACCCTTCCCGCAGGAACACCTTGAGAAATACGATCTCGTACATGCCAGGCACCTAGTCCTCGCTGTGACGAAATCAGACCTACAAACAGCGGTCAAGAATATCTCATCTCTATTAAGTACGTGCTTGAAACGTTGTTTCACGTTCCAGCAGGCTAACAAACGTCCAGAACCCGGTGGCTACATCCAATGGGAAGAATACGACTTCGCCGACCAACTCGCCGCATGCCCGCCTTGCAAGATGACCTCCACCTGGGAGCTGGTCTTCGGGATGCTCGTAAAGCGCGGGTACAGCCTGACATTCTCCAGCGATGTCCGTGATGCCCTCGCCGCAGCCGGCCTGGATGTTATCGAGAGAAAACAGTTCAGTACGAAAGGGCTGCCGGTCAGTGAGGACCACCGTCTTACCTTGCTCCATGCGTTTCGTACTGGGGTTCCGAGGCTTTGTTGGAAGGCAAAGGGGAAGAGTGATGAAGAGATAGAGGAGATTATGGCCGGTTGTTTCGACGAGTGGGAGAGGGGTATTATACTAGACTACGTGTTTTCCTGGGTTGTTGCTAGGAGGCCTGCTTAGTACGTTGCGGGGTGATTAGGAAGATGCGATGGAGCGATGACTAGAAAAAGGGAGGTATTCTATTGCGGCTTGTGGCCGCTTGTGATAGACGGCGTTGGGTACGGATTCCAAAGTTACTTGTTCAGATGAAGCAAATGAGATGGCGACAGTTTTTGACATATGGATATAGATTACAGATAGATCGATAGACGGCCACTGTTCACACGGACATTATGTCCACTGCGAAGAGCCATCGGACGACATCAAAAGAATCCCACGAATGAAATAGAGGCAATGCACCCTGATCCCTATATGCGCCGATACTCCAGGAATAAATGACGTCGCTTTTCCTGCACATTCCCCACTCGGGCGTTGGGCGACGGCCGAAGCAGCCGAAACCCCAACTGAAGTGCCTCGGTCGATTTGATTAGTAGGGCGTGGAGATCGCTGAAGTCTTATCCGCATCGGACAGAGTCGGCCGACCCAGCCCTTCTAACTTATCATCACCAGAAGCACACCCGAACAACCATTAACCATACACCCACAACTCTTTACCCGGAAGCAAACAGCGTATCCTCATCACGCAGGTACTCGCCGCAATCCGCCTGTCGGAAGCAGACGACACCCGTAGGCTCCAACCTCCTCGCCTCAGCCGTACTCCTGGCCGTGATCCCGAATCCAAGCGGAACATCATCCTGCGTGCAAACGATGACACCGCTGTGTTCGCCCATCTCATCCGGTAGCTTTGCGACGTGGGCCTTGGCGACATTCGAGCCGTACAGGAAGGGCATGACGCCGTTCTGCTTGATCCAGATCTTGTTGCGTGCGACTTCGGCGATGATGGGGAGGGCGGTGATGTGCAGGCGGAATTTGCCGGTCTTGGTGAATTTGCCTGCGGAGAGGAAAACGTTAGCGTGGGGGTTCGCTAGGGTATGCGTGCTTGGTCGGGGTCATACCCATGCAGATTCCGAGGGAGAGGAGCTGGTCGCGGGGGAATGCGGTGGCGGCGTTGGCTAGGGAGAGGAGAGCGTAGTATACGCGGTTTCCGGAGAGTCGGAAGACATAGCGGTCGGCGTTGGGGGAGTTATCGAGAGGCTCTGGGGTATTGTTAGCTTCTTGGAATGGGTGATTTCGCGTGGATGCGGAAGAGGGTACACACTGATAAGCTCCTTCAGGCCTGACCCGCAGTATTCGGCGAGCTTCTTGAAAAGCGTCTGTGTCTCTTCTTCTGTGAGGGCGCGCATTTTGGTGGTTGTGCAGTGTTTTGAATCTGAGGCTATCCAAAGTCGAGTCGGAGAAAAAAGTTGAAAAAGATATCGATATCGTCGGCAGAATGCGTACCGCCCTCCGATCTGGTTAGTGTGTTCCTGGTGAGGTTTTGCTGGATTGGGCTTAGCGTCTCTCCACGCCCCTCGTCTCCAACTCCACCCACGGGCCATGACCCACGAGCAAGCCATTGCTGTCAACAAGAGCCCCGCGGTCGGTAAGCATCACGGACGTTGGTGTGAGAAAGCCCAAAACATTGGTTCGCAGAGCGGATATGGAACTACCGTTCTTGATGGCGAAATTCCCTTCTGAAGCCTGTCAATGCAGTCCTCTGCTTACTCCAGGTCCCGGAGAAGATAAGCGCCAAACAAAGTGGCTGGGAGCTGCAACCCCGCCATCGCTTGATACATCACACATGAAGCTGTCCCCAGGGTGACAGCCACATTATCTCCTCGCTACGATATAAACATCCTCTTGGACGTCCTTGTCTTGCCAATGGTCTGATCTTACGCTCAAGCACCACGCTATCGGCATGGCTCTCAGATCAAACTTCAAGAATGTGAAGATCGACGAGGAAGACGAATTTGTTTGCCAATGTGGGTTTCGCATGAAGGACTTCCCCGTCAAGAAGAATCCAAGTGCTTATTATGGGTTGCACTGTAAGCCGCCCTTTCTCCGTCTCACCTCCAGCCGCTTCAATGCTAACGTGGGCCAGTCCACGCCTGCGCAAAACACAGCGCCGACCCAACCCGCTGCAAGTCGACAATTTGGTCTGACGAGAAGGAGCGAGTGCGGAGCTTGATACCCCCTGCTATGCGATCACCTCGAACACCGCGGAAGCAGGTCGATATCCGGGTCTTCGGGCAGTACACGGCGCCGAGTACGTTGAAACGCAAGGCAGAGACAGAGTCATTCGATAGTGCGGGCAGTGATATGACGGTTAACGGTACTATCTACCCCTACAGCCGCCTCGTGACATCGGCCTAAACCTTGTGCTAGAACCAGTTTCACCGTGCATCTCTAGACCTGTGAAGAGGGTGAGCTTTGCTTACGTTGACGTCGCGACCCAAACCGGAGATACCAGCGCCGCTTCGTCTACAGCTTCAACTCGGCCAGCTCCCCGTCCAGTTGCTAGACCTACCCCGACCGCAAGGCCGATGCCGAGGAGACGGTTATTCGAAGAATACTTGGTGGCGCCGAAAAGCAAACCCACCGCAAAGTTCGATCCGTTCGCTCCTCGATCGCAAGAACACAATAGAGGCGACCAGGATCTATCCGTACCAACGACTCCACCTGGTAGGCGTCCAAGACAGTCTTTGTCGCCTCCGGAAACGCCAGCGACCGTCCCCAAAATCCGCAAAGTCAACGCAGTTCCTTTCCCAGCGGGCGGATGTCTGGCCCCGCAAGCAAAAGGGTCATCGACGCCCCCAAGCATGCGAAATTCCAAGACCGGGTTATTCACCCCTCCAACCGCCAGGCGCTGTCAGACATCTCACCCTCATCCTTCCACGGAGCATGATCAGCCGGAGCCGGGAACACCCACAAAAAGCAACTACAGCTCCGTGTCAGCATCGCGGCCGCAGCCTGACGCTACCCCGCCCAACACCGACAGTGACAACGAAACATATGGCTGGGATGACGATCTCAACCAAAATATTCTGCAGATTATGGAAACTGTCGAGAATCGAAGACACGGCCCCCTGTTTGTTTGAGCATTAACTACGTCATTTCTCCTCGCGCTTACCTACCGATTATACCCATAACCGATATTTATTCCGTACATTAGCCGCTTATGTGCATATTTTGGGCTTGCCTTTTTTGTTGCGTCAGAGCGTGCGTCTTTCGGGTTTTTTCTTTTTTCAGCTTGATTTTCTCACACTGTCGGCAATTTAGTTTGATAATTTACTCCAGACTAGAAGACATACATGTCACTCCAGTACCATAGCAGCGCGGTCTTGGACCAAGACTTTTGCATCTGTAAGAGCTTGGGACATCCAACCTGAAAGCACACAGGATCCAGAGGGTCTGAGAAATTGACAATTCCACCTCTCTAGCCATAACCCTCAATCTTTGGCTCCGGCGCGAGGCTGGTATTATGCTCGATGAGCAGCTTGGGCAATTTCCCTTCATTGCCATAAACGTCGTACAAGTAGCACCAGAGGTCATTGAGTTCCTAATTCGAGCCCTCCAGTCATAGCCTTCATCATTCTCGCTCCAGATGAACCGTATCAGAGTGAGACAGAGGCCCGGCTCCGTGGAGTTGATCTTGGCTTTGGCTGTTGTTCTGGCCTCATAAAAGCCCGGACCGGTCAGTCTCATCACACTGGAGATCCCGTTCAGCATGACAGACGATCTTGTCGATGGCTTGCAGCGCTCCTGGGTGAGGATTGTCCCATGGTTCACTACAACTGTGTTTGGTTTGGCTGCTACTTGTCCATCAACCACAGGGAAACAGGAAGTGCGTTTCCACATGTCAGGCCCCAGAAGCCCTCTAAAATCCGGACAAGTCAATCCTTATAACTACTATTTCGGAGATCCAATCAACCGCACAGTCGCCAGAGGCCACTTCAGCTTCTGGGATATCTTCCGCCCAATCGTGCAGGTCATCTCAGGCGTAATCGCGAGTGTTTTCATTGAAGTACTTACACTCGGTGCAGGCGCCGTCCTTGCGTTGGGGTCTTGGTCAGCATGGGCACTTGTCTCGTCTCCGACGCTCTCCCTGGAGACCCATTACTCCGCTGGGCATCGCGTTAGATGTAGTCAGTGCCGTTGCTGCAGTAGGGCACCTATGCCCGGCAAAGAAGTCTCCAAGCTCGGTACCAAGATCCTCGATAGGGCGGTTGAGACGTCCCTCTCATACCCTATAGCGAGAAACAGGTCTCACAGGTGGAGGACCAGCAGCAGACCAAGCCATCATCAATAAAAATACGCGGGCTCGCACCTCGGGACTCAATCCGTCCAACACACAATCAAACATTGACAGCCTGAGGAAGCCGCTGGAGTTGGTCAGCATCAGTCTGAGAGCGTGCCTTCTCTATCGTAACCTGGGGTGGACATAGACGGACCTCTACTGGCTCTACCCCCACCATTTGTCAGATCTAGTCAGCCCTCGCTTAGTGCTTCCGGGTCGTCATCCTCTATCAGCAGCTTCATGAAACTGTTTGCGTCGAGACCCAGAGATATACCGACTGAGCGGAAAGATGTACGATTGCAGGATGAAGAGATCTTCCCAGGCCAGATGAGACTGGCCCCTGTACATCGAGTGCCGTTTACGAGTGATTAGAAGAAGGGGGATGACCGGTGACGTTGTATCTGATGTCGAAGGTATTGGACCTGGGACGACCAGCACTTGCGCCATGTTCTTCAATCCCTACCCTCTGCACGGAACCTCAGGCGGTCACTGAATGGAAGCATGAGCATCCACCGCATAAATTGGAGTTTATTTCCCGCGTTAAGAATGGCCCTGCCCATCGGGACAGCGGCATTAGTCTGTTTCAGATTGTGGATGTCTCGTGGATGCGCGGCAAAGCTGCAAGGTGCTCAAGGAAGCAGCATTCATACTAGGTCTGGATATATTCCCTTCCAGGGTCCCAGAAAGTGACTGCAGTGGCGCTGGTAGTTCTTTACGTGATAGAACGTAGTTCTGAGAGCTTATCAGATGATTCCCAGGTCTGAAACATATTGTCTCGTTCACATAAAAAGCAGTTCCGAGGTCAACAAGCGGTAACATCACAACCATGTTCGATCTGAAGCAGATTGCTTACTCCGATGCAACATCGTTGGAACCGGGGTTTCGTGCTACAGAACCGAGTCCGTTTGGAATGATTACATGCAAGTAAGCCGAATCCACCGAGCTCCGGGGTGTAGGCGTACACGGAGGTTTTACATCCGGATGCTTAGAGCCGTTGGTAGCTTTGGGGGCTCATCCGCGTAGTTTCACAGGAATCGGTAGATTCCCTCCCGCTGCGAATCGGCTCATCCACTTCCTCCTCCCAGCATCTTCTCGCCGTCTCAACCGCACTACGGTGATGCCTGCAGGCGTCCACCGACGCATCCGCCCCGTAATAGAGGAGAAACTGTACGGCTTCAAGGGAGCCACTGGCAATTGCCACGTGTAAAGGACGCTTGTGTTAGCCGGCCGCAACGTTGGCGTCCGCACCGTACTCCAGCAGGAGGCACATCATCTCGGGAGATCCACATAATGCAGCAACGGTAAGCGGTGCACCGAATTCTCCCGCAGGCTTGTTCACGTCTGCCCCGTACTTCAGCAGACAGCGGACCATGTCCAGGTTCTCATAGATGGGGCGTAGAGTAACTGACCCGTGGAGAGCACCCCCGAAATAGCCCATTTCAGCGTTGGCGTCAGCGCCGTGGGCTAACCGGAGCTTGACTGCATCGGTGTTTCTATTTTCGACAGCGATGCACAGGGGCAGTTTAGCTGGGTCGGTTCTTGCGTTGTCTTCAGCTCCATGAGCTAGAAGAAGCTGAACTATCTCGGTGTGTCCTTCTCAAATAGCGAGGCACAAGGGCAAGCCGTACGGGAGGACCGGTTTGCTTGGATCGGCACCTTCTTCCAAGAGCAGTTGACACGCTTCGGGTATCCGGACATTGCGGTAGTAGCAAGTAACCATTCTCGATCTAGCAGGCAAACATGGGGTTGGCGCCTTTTAATAGTAAGTAATTCATTGCCGGAGTATGATTGGTCACGACCGCTTGAGCAAGTGGTGTTTCCCCGTCCCAGTCCCTCCCGTCAAGCTTCAGTCCGACCTTCCACAGGGAGCGTAATGCGTCGGTCCGCCCATGCGCAGCTGCTATATGCGGGTAAGCCTTGTTCTCCCACGTGTGCTTTGACAGAAGCCCGCGGGGCTCCTCATCGGACATCAAATTGTAAAGATACTTGATGCAGTCTGTGAAGCCCCGTTGAACAGATATGGCAAAGAGGCATTGCCACGTAATATTCCATTTTTTCGATGCAGTGCTACGCACTTTGGCCAGCGAACACTTTATAGCAGCAAGGGCAGCTTTTTCGTTTCCTTTGGCGACAACAGCTTTGGTTAGTCCGAGGAGAATCAGAAGACCTGTTAGAAGCTTTCTCCACTCACCTGGGTACTGGTCAGCTTGAGTAAAAAATTTGAACCGCGAAACTCACTGCAGACTAGAAGACAATACCGCACGTCCAAGCAAGACGCACATTTTGTGCTGTGTGAGGGCGTGGGACGACACGTAACCAGCGAGTTCCTTTTGCAGCTTGATATAGCTCGGCTGCTGGTGACCGTGTCCCGGGCCAGGGAGTAGAGCGATCTTCTTGAGTATCAAGCAGCGGATTGCGTGTGGGAGGCTGGCCCAACTCATCGTGTCTGGAATGATGGCTCGGCAGGGGATTGATTGTCATTGGCTCGACGATAGTCGATATGCTCTCCTGCCTTTCTGGACAAATTCCATAAGACAAAGCCATACCAGGTTAGAGTGTGTTCAAGCATCAAGCATGAGAGCTTGGCAGTAACAAGGCAGGAACCCAGTCCCGTGACATCGAAGCCTACCGGATACCCATGTCAAGTCACTCAGCATTGTTTGAGACATGCAGGGCTTCAGATGGCGCACTTGACATCATCGGCCACATGGGCTCCATGGCCTTGGTTGCAGCGCCTCCCTAATGCGAGCAAGCTGAGGGTGAGCGAGATGCGAGGTTACACAGGGCTGTGGTCGTCCATTGACCATCGAGAGAAACCAACGCTGGGCTGAACCTGTGTTCGTGTTGAACCTAAGTAAGGCTATTTTTAATCCATCACTACCACCGTTGTTGTCCGGCTCTGGAGTAAAGAGTGATCGAGCAACTCCGGACCGACGCACAGATATATAGATACATAGAGACATATTTAATGCCCCATCTTTCCTGAGCGTCAGTCAAATGGAGGCACATGAATCCAATCGCTGTGTTCTTGCACCGCCTTTATATCCTGTTCTAGAACAAGGAATATTTGATTGAGACTAGGATCACATCGAGCTCCAGACCATGGAATCTTCAACCCCTGGAGGCTGCTCGGGATATTCGGGATATTCGGAGATAAGGCGGGAAGCCGATCATTCCACGGCCGATGGACCAAGAAAAGCATTGCATGATATGATGATATATGTAGTCCGAGCGTAGCCTTTTATACCCAAGAATTCTACTGTCCACCTAGAGACGCTGGATTTCCAGCCGGTACGTTGCCAAGCTGTAAGCCCAACCCGGGGTAATGCTGATGGCGAGTGTACAGAGGCTTTTTTACGAGGGATCAAGGACAATGGGGTCACTGGAGGCCGGAGCTCGGATGAAATCGATGTGCGAGCTTGCGAAAAACGGCTAAAGAAACACGCAAGAGCGAAGATCTAGAACTAAGTCACTGCGGAGTGCGAATAGACTATCGTTCTTGGCGGAGGGTCATTTACTGGAGATTGTGGTCCAAGTGGTTTGGTATCAGTAATCCGTTTGAATGTGCCTTGGATTTTGAACCAGCCCGTGAGAATGCATGTCAGACCCGGATCTGGCGAGCCACTGCATGGAAGCGCAAGGAGTTTATGCCATCCGAGCAGCAGGGTTGATACAGGATGAAGCGGTCAACACGAGTTTGCGTCCGGATCGAGTGATCCCGATGCTGACGCAAACGATGTGCACCCCGTGCAAACCACCCATAAGAACGAACTTCAAGCGTTGTTCCAGGCGTTTTCGAAGCCGTAGGAGCCGCGCCGGGGTTAACGGGAGTCAGGGGTCAAAAGCCGAGCAGAAATAGCCTAATGGAAGGAACCAAGAAAGAGCGTCGGGATGATTGCTGATCAGATAGTAGATGTTGGTCTTTGATAAGGGCTGGCTGGTGTGCGGAGGGGGCGAAGGTTTCAGGTCTTTAGGCCCGCCCGACTGTCAGATTTCATATTCCGCTTAGTCACGAAGGAAACAGCCGAAGCTAAACCGTATCCGATTGGCCGAGAGCAGGTCAAGCCGCTGAATAAGCGGCAGTGTACTCGGAGGTACCTGTCGGTGCGGTAACTCCGACCACCGATTTGATCCACAGTTTTTCTTTTTCTTACAGCATGCGGATTGCTGCCCATGGACCATCCATCGCATCAGATTGCTGTGTTCACTATAATTGGAAGATGACCACACTCCACCGGTCATGCTCACCTTTTCGACGGAAGTCTCTGCGCTCTCCCTCCGGTTACTCAGCGGATGCGGTTGGCTGCGTCTGGGAAACAGATCGGAAATAGGAGAGCCATGTGGATCTTTGAGGCGGATTCGGGCTGAGTATAACCCCGTCTGCAATCTTCCATGATCTGACCCACTCACTGGCGGTGTTTATATACTCCTCGATGACTTCCCCGAGAGGGGTGCTGATGAATTTCCAAACCACCTTGCCCGACGACGTACCGGCCTACGATTAGTACGTCACCATGTCTTCCCTCACTGTGGGAGACCATGCTCTGCCCCATGAGTCGAGAGAGACCATGGTGAGCATTACTGGAGATTCTGAAAGCACCACTACTGTTACCAACTATGATGCCGCTCATACGACAGATCACAGCACCAGCCGTGCCGAAGGCTGGTCTTTGATGCCTCAAGTCAAGGAACATAACGAACGCGATGCACAATCTGGATTCAAGCGTCGAGAATTGGGCGTCACATGGCAGAATCTCAGTGTTGAAGTCGTCAGCGCAGAGGCTGCTGTCCAGGAAAACTTTCTCTCCCAATTCAACATCCCCAAGCTTGCTAAAGAATCCCGCAACAAACCACCTCTTCGAACCATCCTCGACAACAGCCATGGCTGCGTCAAGCCCGGGGAAATGCTTCTGGTTCTCGGTCGTCCTGGATCCGGTTGCACGACTTTGCTGAAGATGCTTGCCAACCAGCGACTTGGCTACAGGTCGATTAAGGGAGATGTTCGATATGGATCGATGACGGCGCAGGAGGCTAAACAGTACCGGTCCCAGATTGTCATGAACACCGAGGAAGAACTTTTCTTCCCGAGTCTGAAAGTGGGCGAGACGATGGACTTTGCTACTCGACTGAAGGTGCCTTTCCGTCTACCGAATGGGGTTGAATCGCAAGAAGCCTACCGCGAAGAATACAAGAACTTCTTGCTCGAGTCCATGGGCATTTCGCACACCGTTGATACCAAGGTAATCCCCTTATCGCTATCTTCCACCGCCCCGCAGTTCTAACTAGTTCAGGTTGGCAACGAATACATTCGAGGTGTTTCAGGTGGTGAGCGCAAGCGCGTCTCGATTATTGAATGTCTCGCTACTCGGGCATCGGTCTTCTGCTGGGACAACAGTACTCGAGGTCTCGACGCCAGTACAGCCCTTGAGTGGACCAAGGCTGTCCGTGCTATGACCGATGTTCTGGGTTTGTCCACGATTGTCACTCTTTACCAGGCTGGCAATGGTATCTACGATCTCTTTGATAAGGTCCTGGTTTTGGATGAGGGCAAACAGATCTACTATGGCCCCATGACCCAAGCAAAGCCTTACATGGAGGCGCTGGGCTTTGTTTGCCGCGACGGTTCCAATGTTGCCGATTTCTTGACCGGTGTCACCGTGCCCACCGAACGCAAAATCCGCCCCGGTTTCGAAGCGCGCTTTCCACGGAATTCCGACGCTATGCTAGAAGAGTACAACAAATCTGTCGTGAAGGCCGATATGGTCAGCGAATACGACTACCCCGACTCCGAATACTCGATGCAACGAACGGAGGACTTCAGAGTAGCGGTGGCGGAGGAAAAGGCCAAGCAGCTACCGAAAAACAGTCCCTTCACTGTCGATTTCATGAACCAGGTTAAAATTTGCGTTATGCGACAGTATCAAATCCTCTGGGGTGACAAGGGCACGTTCATTGTCAAGCAGGTTTCGACCTTGGTCCAAGCCCTAATCTCTGGTTCACTTTTCTACGATGCTCCCAATAACTCTGGCGGTCTCTTCGTCAAATCCGGTGCTCTGTTCTTCGCTCTTCTCTACAACTCGCTCTTGGCCATGTCTGAAGTCACAGATTCATTCCAGGGACGTCCGGTCTTGATCAAGCACAAGCAATTTGGGCTCTTCCACCCCGCCGCGTTCTGCCTCGCGCAGATCGCTGCGGATATTCCCGTTCTCATATTCCAAGTCTCTATCTTCGCGCTCCCTCTGTACTTCATGGTCGGCCTTGATATGGATGCAGGGAAATTCTTCACCTTCTGGATTGTGGTATTTGCGACTACGATGGTAAGTTTGCTGATGCCTTGTTGGGATTCTTCCGTATGCTAACAACAGACAGGCCATGACTGCCATCTTCCGCGCCTGCGGAGCCGCCTTTAGGACGTTTGACGCCGCATCGAAAGTCTCGGGTTTCCTAATCTCGGCCACCGTTATGTACACTGGTTACATGATTCGTAAACCCGAAATGCACCCATGGTTCGTTTGGATCTACTGGATTGACCCCTTGGCCTATGGCTTCGACGCCCTGCTATCCAACGAGTTTCACGGCAAGACCATTCCTTGCGTAGGCACCAACCTTGTGCCTGCCGGACCGGGCTACGAGAATGCCACCACTGGTGCCTGTACTGGTGTTGGCGGTTCCATCCCTGGTGTGGACTTCGTCACAGGTGATGATTATCTCGCATCGCTCTCGTACAGCCACACTCACGTCTGGCGCAACTTCGGTATCCTCTGGGCTTGGTGGGCTCTTTTTGTGGCCATCACGATTGTGGCGACTACCCGCTGGAAAGGTTCTTCTGAGAACGGCCCCTCGCTTTTGATTCCGCGCGAGAGTGTGGAAAAGCATCGCCAGCATGGCCACCGCGATGAGGAATCCCAGACGAACGAGAAGGCCTCCACCAAGCTTCAGAGCGAAGGTGCTCAGGATTCGAGCGACATTGACAACCAACTTGTCCGGAACACGTCCGTATTCACCTGGAAAGACCTTTGCTACACTGTCAAAACTCCCAGTGGTGACCGCCAGTTGCTCAACCACGTTTATGGATGGGTAAAACCTGGGATGCTTGGTGCTCTTATGGTAAGTGATCCTATTTGAAGCATTTTCGAACATGGACAAACCTAACAATTGCCTAGGGTTCATCCGGAGCTGGAAAAACGACTCTGCTCGATGTTCTTGCTCAGCGGAAGACTGCTGGTACGATCCATGGCTCAATTCTCGTCGATGGACGCCCTCTCCCAGTCTCTTTCCAACGTTCAGCCGGTTATTGCGAGCAGCTTGATGTCCATGAAGCTTTTGCCACGGTCCGTGAAGCTCTCGAGTTTTCAGCTTTGCTCCGCCAGCCACGTGAAACGCCTGAAGAAGAAAAGCTGAAGTATGTTGACGTTATTATCGACCTTCTGGAACTTCACGACATTGCCGACACGCTCATCGGTCGCGTTGGCGCTGGTCTCAGTGTTGAACAGCGCAAGCGTGTCACCATCGGTGTTGAACTTGTCTCCAAGCCTAGCATCCTGATCTTCCTGGACGAACCCACATCTGGTCTTGATGGCCAGTCCGCCTACAACACAGTCCGCTTCCTCCGCAAGCTGGCTGATGTCGGCCAAGCTGTGCTAGTGACGATCCACCAGCCCTCTGCTCAACTGTTTGCTGAATTTGATAGCCTGCTGCTTCTGGCTAAGGGCGGAAAGATGGTGTACTTTGGCGATATCGGCGACAACGGCTCAACCGTGAAGGACTACTTCGCTCGCCACGGGGCTCCTTGCCCTCCCGACGCTAACCCGGCAGAACACATGATCGACGTCGTTTCTGGCTCCCTATCTCAAGGCCGTGACTGGCATGAGGTCTGGAAAGCATCCCCCGAACACAGCAACGCGCAGAAGGAACTAGATAGGATTGTCAGCGACGCAGCCTCCAAGCCGCCTGGGACCCTGGACGACGGCCGCGAATTTGCCATGCCTCTCTGGCAACAAACAGTCATTGTCACCAAGCGTACCTGCCTGGCCGTCTACCGCAACACCGACTACATCAACAACAAGCTTGCCCTCCACATTAGCTCCGCCCTCTTCAACGGCTTCTCGTTCTGGAAGATGGGCGAATCCGTCGGTGAACTCCAACTCAAGCTCTTCGCCCTCTTCAACTTCATCTTCGTCGCCCCAGGTACGATCGCGCAGCTGCAACCTCTCTTCATCGAACGCCGTGATATCTACGACGCCCGTGAGAAGAAGTCACGCATGTACTCCTGGGTTGCCTTCGTCACCGGCCTGGTCATCTCCGAACTGCCATACCTCGTCCTCTGCGCCGTCCTCTACTTCGTGTGCTTCTACTACCAAACCGGCATGCCCACATCCTCCGACAAAGCCGGCGCCGTCTTCTTCGTCATGCTCCTCTACGAGGCCCTCTACACCGGAATCGGCCAGTTCATCTCCGCCTACGCGCCCAACGCCGTCGCCGCATCCCTCACCAACCCGCTCGTGATCGGTGTCCTCGTCTCCTTCTGCGGCGTCCTCGTCCCCTACCAGCAAATCCAGGAGTTCTGGCGCTACTGGATCTACTGGCTGAACCCCTACAACTACCTCATGGGCTCGCTGCTCACGTTCACCGTCTTCGACGTCGACGTCAAGTGCCGCGAGTCGGAGTTCGCGACCTTCGATCCCCCCAACGGCTCCACTTGCATCGACTACCTCGCCACGTATCTGCAGGGCTTGGGCGCCCGCGCCGACCTCGTCAACCCGGACGCTACCTCCCAGTGCCAGGTCTGCCAGTACACCCGTGGAAGCGACTATCTGTACAGTCTGAACCTGAAGGACTACTACTACGGGTGGCGGGATACCGCGATTGTCGCGCTCTTCGTCTTCAGTAGTTACGGTCTCGTTTACCTGCTCATGAAGCTGAGGACCAAGGCTTCGAAGAAGGCTGAGCAGTAGGCTAATCGTCCTACGCCGTCGCTTTCTCAACTTCGTCGCTGTCTTTTGCCGCCTATCTCTTGTTAATCACCTCTCTGACACGCTTGCTTGTCCTGGATACCATTGTTTCATTGTTTGTCTTTTCCTGTTGTCTTTGATGTTATGTTACGTTCACGATGTTAATAGATCGATCTACTGCATGGCGGGAGTTCTACTTTGACACAGATTATAATAGACATATCGTCGTTCGGAGAAGCTCAATAAACTGCTTACTTGTCATCACCTGAAATCGTGGATCTATACTGTAGAGAACGCGCTGGCAGCGCCTGCAAATGTGTCGCGGCACGCCTACTTGTAGGCATCAACTTTATCAAATCACCAGAAACTCAGTGTATCGCACGGGAACAATAATTCATCAGACGTGATCCGAATGAAGGCAAGCGACAGGAAGGTATGCGAAGAGCAAGCAAGCAAGGAAGATCGCCAGAAAATAAAGCTCATAGATAACTATAGAGAGGTCGTATCGTATCGAACCGAGAGCAATAGCAACAGGAAGGACGAGACGGGAAGACGGAAAACAGACGGGACGCTATCGTAATTCACATGACAATGCAGCAGGAGTTCTGCTTCTTCGCGCTCGTGTAGAACATCTTGCTTTGCGAGCTGAGGCCCTCGCTCTTCTGGACAAGGTCATCGAGTTTTTCGCCGCGTTGCAGGACCTATCCAATAGCACAGCCACCCGTCAGCATCTGCCATCTCAACAAGACCCCTGACATAGGCCAGAGGCGGGAGGCAGGACAACTTACACTCTCAATAGTCTTATGCAGCACAACCTTCGTCTCATCAAGCTCCTTCTGAATCTTCAAGATACTGCCGACGTTCTGCGGGTCCTGGTACTTCGTGATGTAGGAGCGGAGGGCGTCGAATCTCACGGGGCCCGTGGCGGTCTTCGCGGAGGGGTTCTGGGTCGTGAACTCGTCGAGGAGCTTGGAGAGGATCTGGTGCGCCGCCATGGAGGGGTACTCGTCGTCGCTGATGATGACGCCGGTGATGCCGGGTGATGCGCTGGAGGCGTAGACGTGGAAGGTGAAATCTAGACGACAATAGGTAATATTGTCAGCGGAGCTCGAGCTCACCGACCCCTTATCCTGCTTGTAGCTTGGGTGGGTTTGGGATTGTAGGAGCGGTGGCGGAAGACGTACCCTTTTCTTGAACGTCCTGCCGTTGTCCGGGGCTTGTGCGGCCGGTGAGGAGCTTGCTAAACATGGTTGTGAACTCCGAGATGCTGCCCTTGGTGAAGCGGGAGTAGCTGCTCAGCTCGCGCTCGCAGCATAGCTCGATCGGGTCGGGTTGCGCGTTGCGGAGGACCTGGCGGCGTCAGTTGATGGTAGAAGGGGAGACCGCATAGCTTACACCAATGTAGACGATCTTCATTTTGCTGGATAAGGCAGGGAAAGCGACTGGGAGAATGTGGGGTGTCAAAGGAATGGGGAGTCTTGGAGATGAATGTGATGGAGTGGGCGGTGCTAGGCGGCAGAATATGGACCTAATGCTAGCTGGGGCCGCTCACGTGTCAGGACCCTTTTCTCTTACTTCGGACGAATCATGGGCCTTGGTCAAGAGACAAGATTTCTGCCTGCCTGTCCGCTTCTTATACCTTCAACTACTTGGATTGTATCATGGCTTCCATAAGGTCACGTTAGGGACAGAAACCTCGACCTTTTTCAAACAGCGATCTCACATGACACGTGGCGTTGCAGTTGTTGTTTATCAGGCACAACAGTAGTTATGCTTTGTGTTCCATCAAGCCTCGTCCGGTCACATCTGTTAGAATCGAGGCTTTGTCAACAGAAGGGTCTCTACTATATGATGCGTCTGCTTGTGATGGCTGACGCTGATCCCTTTCCTGGAAGTATGCATTCCTGCCTCCCAGCAAGCGAGCTTGTTGACGTGTTTTACTCGCGCCGTGCTCCAAGGCTCGAACTTCTAGCACCAGGACACTACGCAGGGCGCTGTTGAGAGTTTATTAAGATTACGGCAGTGCTATCAGGTAAGTCATGTCTATGTAGAGGGGATATTGGGCGGATAACCTCTGGAGTTATCGTCCGGAAACAAATTGTGAAGCGATTCCCATCTACAAAACTCAGCAATCCAACGTCGCTCGCTCAGAGGTCGCCCGGGTTGCCCACTCGTTCGAGACAGCATTTAGCCCACGTTCCGCACCTATTCCTGTTCTTCCCCGATGAATCCGTGACTTTTCCAGACTTCATCTTTCGATATCTGGCCTCTCTGTCTCTTGGTCTTCTGAGCTTCACCCAGGCCGACAATTCCGCCAACTGGACACTATATTCGGCGGTTATTCCAACCTGCCGTCTTGTTGGTACGGAAATAGAGGTTTCGAGAGGGCCCACCGCTCTATTCCGCTGCCTGTTGTGCCAGGTCTCGTTTATCCCATACGACCGGGTCAGAATCGTACAAGCCGCACCATCGTGCATATTGCGCGTCCGTTGGCACTATCCGGACTGACCCGCCTGACGTCGTCTGGTTCAATCTCAAAGTTTGAATTGGGTGAAAAGCTTTGCTCTGTAGAAAGAGCTATCCTAGCTTTTGAAACATTGTTTTCAGTTGGGTGGTAGGAAAAGGAAATTCTATCTTCCAAAACAGGAATCATGGCAGAAGTCCAAGTAAGCTCGGTCGACATGGCATTCATTGGACAGCTGCAGCTCATCTGGTCAACTTCGACTTTCCGCAATTTTGGGACCTCTCTGAGGCAGGGACGACCTTTGCGCGCCACACAATGAGCCGGAGACCTAGCGACTTCCCTCTCCTACCTTCCTATTCTTTTTATACACCATCCCTTCCGTCTTCCCAACATCCCTAGCCTAGAGCCATGTTTCTAACCAGAATACCCCCATTCTCTGTCGTCCATGCTTCACTCCTAGCTCGCACGGTTGCCGTCGCAGTCACTGCTTCCGGATTCCCTTTGTCCTCGATCTGCGTCTGGGCCTTTGAAGGTCTCGTTATCGACGGGTTTACAGCAATCGATCAGACCGGCACGTCATCCACCAAAGTCTGCTACTGGGGACTGTGGGTTGCTTGGACTGCCATGCATGCCGTCCAAAATTACCGAGACGACGGCTACGAATGCAGACGGCTCGATGATATCTTGTCCCGCGGAGGCTTCCATTGCTTGGTCAAAGTAATCCGCAAGGTCGACTACGTGCGCACACCATCGGCCGAGAAGAACGCAATGCTCGGGTTCATCGGCTTATGGGAGGGTGTCAATCAAGCTATACAAGAGGTTAACGCGTTGGATGGGCACCATCTTCCTGACGTTGGCGAAGATGCTCCATCAGACCTTTCCACCGATTATCTTCTGGATCGATGCGGCAAGACCCTCGACTGCTACCAGAAGAGCATCGACTGCTACAAAGGGATCCTAGATAGCTACCGCAAGGCCGCTTTCAGCTATCGCAAAACACTCGATCTCTATCGCCATGTACTTGCATGCTACAGCAAAATGCCCGACTGCAGTGGCACGATCCTCGGTTACTACGATAACATTCTTGATTCTTACGACAAGATTCTCGAGTGCTACAGGACGCTCAACTGCTGCGATGAGACCCAGGAATGCTACAAGAAGATTAGTGATTATCACAACTCTCTCAAGGGTCGCGGCAAAACTCCTGATCGCCATGGCGAGCTTCTTGATTGTTACGATCAGATGCTTGACTGCTACAAAAGCATCTACAATCGATGCCACGGCGATGTGCACATTCTACTCAAAGATCTCGTTCACTCTACAGAGAAGACACGGGACGAGTTGTCGAAACTGAGTGTTTGGAGACGAGCTTGGGTTCGGCCGTACCTGAAGGATATCGACCGGGGACTGAAACACCTCCTTGTGCTTACTGAAAAGGAACGCCGCAATACTTCCGAGAATACAAGTGAGTCGAAAATGACCTTGGAGCTCGACCTCCCCTACGGAACGAAACTCGATCTTCCTCGTGGGATGGTGCTGCCAACTGCTTCACCCGCTAGCTCGCGGTATGCCAGATCCGATTCTTGATCGAGGATGTTTGGGATCATCTCATCGTGCTCAAATGCCCTATCCTTAATAGCTTTATAAATTGTCGCTGGGATTTGGCCGGATGGATCGCCAGCGTTGGCGGTATTTGCTCCTGGTTCTCTTGCCTCTTGTTGGGAGAATTGGATGACTTTATGGAAGGCAACCATGTAGCTTTAGGCCATGTATGAATATGTTTGCAAGCTTCCACAAGTACAATGGATATCTTATGTTTGACTCGAGTACCACAACTCTTTTGACTGTACCTGCATAGTTTTCCGATCGTCGAGGGCATATGAGTGCTGCTGAAATCTGCAAAATATATATAGCTGCTTAAGACCAATTAGCCGGGCCTTAGGCCTATTGACATTGTCTGCACTCAACCCGCAAGGGAACCATATGCTCTTGTTGAATATCAACTACATACTTAGTAGAACTTGTGTAGTTTAGGGCAAGGAAAGTCCGACTTCGCGGCGTTCCATGGACCTCAAGTGTCAAACTGTCGGTGTCCTTGTGACATCACGGATCCGACCGAACGCGGCGAAGAGTGGGGGACAGGTAGATTAGTAATAGATATGTTTTAAGTGACTTGAAAACAGGGAATCCGGTATCGGGCGCGAGCCGACTGTTTCCGTTTTACCATGAGCCGGTAATCAAGAATTAAATTGTGCTGATGACGATTGGCTATCGGAAGCGACAAATACAAATTGGCGCCTTATTTTCGCGAGCAGAACGAGGCAATACAAGGCCCTGCTTCTCCGCGGATCACGTGGACGGGTTTGCCCCTCCAACGCTGATTGATAAGAATTCCGCTGACCAAACGCCGCGGAGCGTCAATTGGAGATCTCTGACTCTTTGCTCGACTGCTTCCTCCTCCCTCCCTCTGATTTATTCCGTTGGAGACCTCGTCTCACTTCCTTCAATACCAGGCGCTTATCTTCCCTTCGCAATCCGAGTCAAGGACCTTTGACTTCGTCTGCCTCGAGGCAGAAAATCACTGATTGACCCCATATCCGACCGCATAGACGATAGACAGCCACAATGGCGCCATCCTTCGTGAGCATCGACACAACCCCCGACTTCGACATGACACCCGCTCCCTCAAAGTCCGCCGACAGCGGCAAACGAACCCTCCTGCTCGCACCCCCCTCAATCGCCACCCAAGAAGACAAACTTCGCACACTCTTCACAACCTACGACCGCAACACGACAGACCTGCAGATGCTCGACCGCGTATCGGCAGGCTTCGTCTCCCTCCCTACAAGCACATACGATCTCGTTCTTGTCCTCACAGACTCAGATGGCACGAGGCGGTCCGAGGCGCTTCAGCTGCTCAAGCGTGAGGTCTATGCGGCAGTCATTCCGGCTATGAAGGGTGGTGCGAAGTTGCAGACGGAAGATAACTTCTTTGGAGAGGCCGAGGAGCGAGAGGCTGTGCTTGCGGGACTAGTGAAGAAAGACAATGGGTTTGAGAAGATGGATGTTAGCAATGGGGCTGCGGTGCCGTTGAGACTGGGCAGGAAGAAGAAGACTACCGCTGCTTCTGCCCCAGCTCCAGCTCCGGCCCCGGCTGTACAGCCCCCTCCTATCATCAGTTCCGAGGATAACGATCTGAATGATGATGAGTTGATAGATGAGGATACCCTTCTGTCGGCCGAGGACCTCAAGAGGCCCATTGTTCCACGTGAGTACCGCGTTACCGTCATATCAATGCTCAGACTAACCCCCTCCAGCTCCAGAGTGCCAACCCAAAGCCGGAAAGCGACGTCGCGCCTGCAAGGACTGCACCTGCGGTCTCGCCGCCCAGATTGAAGCCGAGGACAAGGAACGTCGCGAGCAAGCAGACAAGAACCTCAACGTCATGAAGCTCGAGACGGACGATCTGAACGAACTTGACTTCACAGTTCAAGGCAAGACCGGTTCCTGCGGTAACTGCGCCCTTGGCGATGCCTTCCGATGCGACGGCTGTCCCTTCATTGGTCTTCCGGCCTTCAAGCCGGGCCAGGAGGTTCAGATCTTGAATGACGTTGCCCAGCTTTGAGGAGTCGAGCTGGGTCCACTTACGGCATGCATGTGTTGGTTTACGGCGGGGGATTCGCATTGGGGTTTGTGGAGTTTGCTTCCATGGCGTCCGCTTTGATTTGAGTTGCGCTTAGACAAAATCATGATTCGCTTGCTGGCCATTGACATTGGGGATTTGATTTTGGGTATTTTAGATAATGATATAACGTTTTATGTTTCTTTCATTGCTCTTGGTTTTGCACTGCTATTGAGAAAATCTTGAAAATCTCCTTGGAAGAACCGTAACTGGAACTTGGGAGAAGGACGCTGACTGACTTTGTTAGATTGCCAACATCTGTCGACCGTGGTGGTGGGCACTAGCCTCGAGCGCCCTGTCGGGGATGAGCCGTTTGTGCTAAGATGCCAGAACTGCAGCCTCGGCTCGTATCCGTGCATCCACCCCAGATTATATTACCGTACCCTCCCCAGGTCGATTAATCCTACTCCACGAACGCCGCGGCGCTGCTCGACTTTTTGGCTAATCTCCGAATCTCTACCGTCCTAGTACCCTCCTGCGACCCCAGGTCACCGGACTGAACGCGGGGAATACCACTGCGACTACGCCGTTCAACTTCTGCGTCAAAGTCAACTTGAAACCCCGTTCGTCTCTCGCCGTAATCGGTCTGACACTGGCCCAATTAGGTTGAACTTGAGAACTACAGTCTGAACCCCTCGACTAGCCGGTGATGAACGATGCACCGCCTAAATCACCTGGTCGACGCCGAGTCCATTCATCGGGACGACCGGATACAGAATGTCTCAGAACCCCGCGAGTGTGGCTGGCCAATTCTAAGATTCATTCAAGTTGTGGAGGTAGGTTCAAGACACTAAAGCGCGGGATGCCAACTTCCTCGAATCAGAACCGTGTGACTTCATCTATTTTAGATTGATGCAGGGTCTTACCCCAGCTTTTCGGAAGTTCCTGGCATTTACTGGCAGAACAAGCCTCAATTTTCGCAGTCGTTGCCCAGAATGGATTAGAGCAACGTTGTTCCTTTGAACGTGTGTCTGTGCAACAGTCCTCACAGTTCGATTTGGCCTTCTTCCCACCGGAGATGCGGCCCAACTCTGGATCTAGTCGAACCAGGGCTGAAATGTGTCCAGTCATCGATCTGCGTGTTCGACTAGCGTTCGCCTAAACGAAATGACATACAGGGAACCTCTGGAGAAGCGAGGGGAATATGGTGTCATGGTCACCGGCATGTGCTTTCCTACTTTACACCTTGCCGGTTTATAAGCATCTGCTTCAGCCTTCGAAGAGCTTTTTCGTGAAACATCGCTGGCACATCCACTCTCGTTTTCGGCCCTTAGTTACCAGAGCCTATCTGTTCACTCGCTTCTCAGCTTGTTTATCACCGTATAACTATGAAATTCAAACCAACCGCTCTGTTAGCCGGCTTCTTAGCCCTAACAACAACCGTCGCTACGCCTACAAAGGTTATCCGTCAGCCAACCTTGATTCAACGCGATGCCGCTGCAATCGTTAGTAAGGTCGCCGATATCAACACTCAGATCCTCGCTCTGGGCTCCGACATCGCCGCATACTCCGGCGGCGACACCTCCGCAATCGAGGAGACGTCAAACCTACTCGTCACTGCTATCAACGAGGGCACGGACATCGTCCTCGCCAGTGAGACTCTCACAAACACCGAAGCCTTGGACCTCGTCACCCCGATCCTAGATCTGACCAGCAATGTGGACACGACAATTTCGGCGCTCATTGCTAAGAAAGATCTTGTTGTTGCTGCCGGCTCGGGACCAAGCGTCTATGCGCAGCTGACGGCGCAGTTGACTGCTGCCAATGCATTTGCAGAGGCTTTGAGCAGCAAGGTTCCCGCTGCGCTGGAGGATGTTGCTAACGAGCTCTCGGCGGGTATTCGGACGAGCATCCAGAGGGGCATTGATGCTTATGCGGATGTGGCGAACCCTACGTCTACGAGTACTTCAACCACGGCCACCTCCACTAGCACGTCGACTACTGAGACATCCTCGACCACTGAAACCACCTCCACCAGCGAGACCACGTCGACCACCGAAACTACGCAGACCACCACCCACACCAGCACGACGACGGACACCACAAGCACAACTGAAACCACAACCACTCCCCCTACTAGCACCTCGACTACGTCTGAGCCCTGCGAAACGGATACTGAGACCCCTCCTCCGTCGTCTACCACTACTCCTTGCGAGACCGAGACCCCTGAGCCAACCACTACTCCTTGTGAGACCGAGCCTCCAGAGCCAACCACTACTCCTTGTGAGACCGAGACCCCCGAGCCCACCAGCACCCCATGCGAGACCGAAACCCCCGAGCCGACAAGTACTCCATGCGATACCGAGACCCCGGAGCCAACTAGCACTCCATGCGAGACTGAGACCCCGGAGCCAACTAGCACTCCATGCGAGACTGAGACCCCGGAGCCAACTAGCACTCCATGTGAGACCGAAACTCCCGAAACTCCCGAGCCCACGAAGACGCATACATCAACGACCGATGAGCCTGAGCCAACGAAGACGCATACGTCAACGACTGATGAACCTGAGCCAACCATGACACATACGTCGACTGCTGATCAGCCCGAGCCCACAAAGACACATACGTCGACTACTGATGAGCCCGAGCACACGAAGACACATACCTCAACTAGCGATGAGCCCGAGCCAACCAAGACCGAGACATCCGAAACCGAACCACCCGGTCACGAACACACAAAGCCTCCAACCTTAGAACCAACCGACTCCAGCTCCACAACCCTTATTCCCACGACCTCACCAACCGGAGTCTCCCCAGCACCCACCGGTGGAGACTCAGGTGAGCCTGAGCCCGAGTCCCCCACCGAGACCGACACAAGCCCTGAGTCTCCAGAACCTACTGGCGGAGACTCTGACGAGACCGAGCCTGAACCCGGATCTGAGGTTCCTACCACTACCAGTACGAGCCCCGACGCCCCGGAGTTCACTGGTGCCGCGGCCACGAACGCGCTCAGATCTTCCCTTCTCGGCGCGATGGTCCTCGGTGGTGTGATTATGGTTATCTAACCGTGAACTGATATGGTGTTGTTGCTTTGCCTTGTTCAACTTGAATAATGTTAATCCTCCCCTTAATGCGTCTAGTTTTACGATCAATAATCTCTAGTATCTAGTATTGTAAAATGAAACATATATGCCATCTCGAAGTCCCTTTCCCTGAAAAGTATACTTCATGCCTCACTACAAAGAGCTCATCGAGCCTAGATGACACGAATAATAGAAGCCCGAACCCGCGGGCACAAGTTTTGGTAGTCCGACCCCTACCAGGAATCCACAGAAAACACCCGACTTACAAACTCTAGATCTAGAACTAAGGCGCCAAAGGAACTAGAAGACACCCCCACAACCCAGTCCCAGCCAAACTCATCCTCCATCAGTCCCAGCCCCCTCACCTCCCTCCCGAAACGAAGCCGGCGCAAACACCCCGCCCGCCCTCTGATCCCTCGCCCCCCCATCCCGGCCAACATCAAAACAAACATCCACGCGCCTCCTCGTCTCCTCCCGAATCCTCTCCCTCCAGACCGCCCCCCTCTTGCCCCGAAGCCTCCTACTATAAACCCCCCACAGCCTCGGCAAAACACCCACATCCAGAGCACAGTAGTCAATCATCCCCTGGCTCATAGGGCGCTCATTGAAAACATCATACGAGCCACCGCGTTCCGGCGTGGAAAGCCTAAGACCTCTCCTCTTGATACGGCGCAGGATCCCAGCGCCGGAAGTTGAAAGGCCCGCGTCGCGGAGTATGCATTTGCCAAGTCCCCACAGCAGGGTGCGGTCGTGTGTGCGCGCTGCGAGCTCCATGAGCTGGATGTCTTGGATGCCGGCGAGGTAGATGCCGTATTGGGCGTAGAGGGCGTCTGAGTCGGCGCGGACGTCGAAGAAGGCTTTTTCGACTGAGGGGGACTCGAGTATACTCTTCAAGCTTAATGTGCATGGCTGTGGACCTGGTTGAGCTTGGTTTGTGTCCGTCTTGGAGTCCGCTGGCGTTGTGAATGCGGCGGCTCCCAGGGTGTGGACGTCAACCAGGTAGATCTGGTCGAGCGGGAGGTGGAAGATCTGCATTATTGAGATTGAGCCGTGGCGCGAGAGGGCGCGGCCTTCGAGGTCGATGTACAGCGAGGGGGGGTTGTTTGGGAGGGATTCATTAAGGTGGGAGAGGAGGTCTTTGAGTTTTGGCATGGTGTCGATGAGTTTGGGTTGGGTGGTGCTGATGGGATTGGGGAGTGTTGAGAGCCGTGTTTTCTGGATCCAGGGGGATAAACATGAGGCTGATCTAGAGTGGAAGATGTATCCATTGCCCTTTCTGGACATGGAGAAGAAAACCATGGTGACCGCGGCGTTAGGTTTCTGGAATTACCCCGGGATCGCAGCGATTTGACTCTAGTACTGCGAAAAGAAGGGGCCTTGTTGAAGAGGAAAGAGGAAAGGAAAAGAAAATGGCACCACAAAGAGGTTCGAACGAGCGACCTTGAGTTTCCCAAGGTTGCCCGCGCCAAGACCTCACTGCATCAACTCGGATTTGCTTTCTTTTTGTTTGCTAACGGAGTTCCTCTCTTGCATCTGCCCACAGATACAAACGAAGGCTTAAGAAGAGTGCCCTTCCGCCGTTCTCACCAGCAGCATCTGACCCAGATCATATAGTACGACATCCAGTCTCTACCCCGCTTCATTTATTCATGTAATCATCAGCATTGCTAGCATACAACCAAGGATGCTACCAGAGCCTCTTCCAGCGGACCTTCAACTCTCGGTCGGGCGGTATCCCCACGGCCCCGATATATTCCCTCGAGTTCTGAGCGCGACGGTCGGACTTGGTTCCATCTGGACTCACCCACGCGACTATTTCAATGTCGAACCGGGTCAGCAGTGTCGCTAGCGTTATGAGGATCTCCTGCTTGGCAAAGACACGGCCGGGGCAGATAGATGGGCCGCCGCCTGATGCATATGAGCCTTGCTGTTAGTAACGGCCACGGTCAAGGAATAGGGTCATTGAGACGCACCGTAGGGTAAGAACGAGCTGCTGTGCCCGGCCATCGTGAACTCGGTCTTGCCATTCTCATGCTTTAGATTCCGCCCTGCCCAGAACTCCGTCGCCGGGTGCCCGGGGGCGCTCCACACCTCGTCGTAGTGCCCGATCTGGCTGGGCGCTTGGATGAATGAACCCGCGGACAGCCTGTACCCGTCAAGCGTGATGGGCTGGGTGACCTCGCGGGTGATGTTGATTGAGATGTGCAGCCGCAGCGTCTCGACATACAGTGACTGCAGCAGGGGCATGGAGAGGAGTTTCTGGGCGTTGAAGGTGCGGGCCCCCGTTACTGGGTCGGCATTGCTAGCGGCGAGACACTCGTCGCGCACGGCGCGGTGCAGCTCCGGGTCTGCGATGATCTCCATCATGGCCCAGGTGCACATGGGCACGGAGTTGGCGTTCGTCGCGAAGACGATGGTCGCCACCATCCCAGCCGCTGTCTCGATGGAAAGGCTGCTCGACGCCCACCGGATCAGCTCCCGCGCCATCCGCGACCCATAGCACGGCTCCCACTCTGCGTCTGCGTTGGCGTCGGGCCCGTTTCTGTCCCACTCGCCGGCGGCGAAGTCAAGCCAGCGGCGACACATGGCGTGGAACCGATCGCGCACCTGCCACGGCTTGCGGTTCATCCACTTGGGCAGCCCCCACATCAGCTGCGGCGCGAGGTGCGCAAACTCCCACATGGTATCCCAGAACCCCGGGTTAAGACGCACAAGATGCGGGCCCATGAACGCCTCCAGGGCGGCGTCGGCCATTTCCCTCTCGAAGAACTGGGCCAGTCCGACTTCGGCCCACTGGCCTACAGGGTGCTTGTTCAGGCGCTCGGAGAAGATCTGGTAGTACTTGTCGGCTAGAAGATTGGCCCGCTCGGCGCGCAGGAGGTACTCGGAGAAGACGTGGTGCTGGTCGTGCCAGAGACGCGGCTGGCCTGGTTTGGGCTCGTAGCCTGGGATGGGCTTCTTGCGGCGCCCGGACTTGTCCTGTGCGAATTTAGCCAGCTCCGCGCTTGTCGCGCCCCAGACGTTGCCCATGACCTGTAGGAAGAAGATGTCCGGGCTGATGCTGTTCGAGGGCTGGTTGATGTCGTGGATGTTCTTCTCCCCGGAGACCATGTAGATCTTCTTGAGCCCCAGCCGGAACTGGATGACTTTGCTGCTTTTGGTCGCCGCGCTACAGAGAACAGACGCTGTCAACGGGGCTGGGGTTCAGCGGTGGCAGTGGCAGGCTTACGCGATTCGCTCAAGGAAGCCTTCCATGTTCGTCATGTATTGGTAGGTGTTCTTTACGATGGGCCCATTCAGGAACGGCGGGGTCTTCTCTCTGGGGCCACTCCATCGTGAAAGAATGAGACTCAATGCAAGGCATAGTCCTATGGCAGACAGCGGTGCCGCCCAAGTATCTGGACGGTATAACGACGCGAGCTGGGTCCCCAGGGCGTTCATCCTGACGTGGACGGGTTGGCTGGACGACACCGTCTGCCTGGCTAGTTCTTTATGTAGACTAGTTGCAGCATGGTCCTGGCTCGTGCTGGCTCGGACGATTCGGATGGTACCCCTGCGTGGCTGTTGCACGAAATTACCGATTGGATGCGGACATGACTTCGGGAATTTCAGTTTAGGCTGGTTGTCGGAGTTGGCTTTGCTTGGGATCGCCTCACTCCCCGAGCATACTCTATTTAGCCCGGGTCTGCGACTGCTGCATGATTCAGGAGGATTGCCGGAACCACCACTGAACCCGTTTAGCCATGTCATCGACAGACTCAATGTGGGTTGGGGCCGTGGCTTTAGTGCGTACCCTACCCCCTATGCAATGACACCTAGTCTAAGGCGCATGGATAGGCCATGAGCACCGTCGCCCTGGGCCTCCTTCATCAGATATGGACGGATCCGCTCCGAAAATACCCCGGCCCCTTCATCGCGCGTGTATCCAGGATCCCCTACATGTGGCACACTGTCAGAGGCGACACCATCTTCTGGATCAAGCAGCTGCACGAGCGTTACGGCGAGGTGGTGCGCGTTGCCCCCGACGAGCTCAGCTACACGACTCGAGACGGCTGGGCCGAGATCTACGGCCACACGACCGGCGACAGAAGAACCACGCAGAAAGACCCTCGCTTCTACAGTACCTTTGGCAACGCCCAGGACATCCTCAACGCCGACGACGACACCCACCCGCGCTTCCGCCGCAACTTCTCGCACGGCTTCTCCGACCGCCTGCTCAAGGAGCAGGAGCCCACCATCCGGCACTACGCCGACCTGTTGGTGCAGAACCTCCGCCAGACCAGCGGCCGCCCCTTCGATCTCCTCGAGGTCCTCAACTTCACCACATTCGACATCATGGGCGACCTGACCTTCGGCGAGCCGCTGGGGCTCCTGGAGGGGTCCCCCGAGTATATCCCCTGGATCAAAGTGGTCTTTGCGACGGTCAAGTCGGTGGTTCTGTTCCGGCTGGGCCGCTACTTCCCCCTCCTCATGCCGCTGGTCACGCACCTTTTGATCCCCAAGTCGCTGCAGCGCGAGCAGATGCAGAACTTCCAGAACTGCATCGAGCGAGTCGACCGGCGCCTGGCAAAGAAGGACGCCCGACCCGACATCTGGGGGTTGATTTTGAGACGCGAGGTCGACAACGAGGACAAGGGCAGGGCGCGTCTGACCGTTGAAGAAATGTACACCAACTCGCAGATCTTCATGATCGCCGGCACGGAGACGACGGCCACCCTCCTCTCGGGACTGACTTACTACCTGCTCACGAACCCGGACAAGCTGGCGATCCTGCGCAGCGAGATCGAGACCGCGTTCCCAGGCGGCGACGGCGAGATGACCATCTCCCGACTGGCAGCGTTGCCTTACCTAAACGCGTGCATCGAAGAGGGGCTGCGCATGTATCCCCCCGTCCCCGTCGGCCTTCCACGGCTGGTTCCCGCCGAGGGCAAGATGATCAACGGGGAGCGAGTCCCGGGCAAGGTAAGGCGAGAACCTGTTCCAACCATCCAGAGTCAGATCAATGACAGCCCTGCACCAGACAGCAGTCTCCGTAGCGCAGTGGGCGACCTACCGAAGCCCGCAGTACTTTAAGAACCCAGACCAGTTTGTCCCCGAGCGCTGGACAGGCAGCGAGGAGTACGCGGGCGACCACCGGAAGGCGCTGCAGCCGTTCTCGTTTGGGCCGCGCAACTGCCTAGGAAGGAAGTATGTAGTTGCCCATCTCGATCTCCTGGTTCGTGGCCTTGGTACTCCGTACTAACGCGAAGCAATGCAGTCTCGCCTACCACGAAATGCGTCTTATCCTGGCCAAGGTGATTAGGAACCTGGAGCTAAGGCTGTGCCCCGAGTCGGTCGGATGGAGTGAGCAGAAGGTGTTTAATGTGTGGGAGAAGCGGCCGCTCATGGTGTCGGCTCGGGCGATGATGGTCTAGTGTAGTCTCTCAACGGTAGCAAGGAACTTCTTGGAGATAAAAGCTTCAGTTATTCCCACTGAACTCTTTTTCGAGACCATCCCATGACGTATCTCTGCATCAGGAATCACAACCTCCGACACTGTCAGTATCTCCGACTGCTACCTGGTAGATTAGACGTCTCCAACTTCCCTGCCGATGGTATGGGCTGCGAGTCATGTAGTCCTTGATAGTCAGTGAAGACTGCAGGCCTAGGCATGGATCAGACGGCATCGCCAATAAAGGCCACAGGAGGGGTCGAGACGCGATCAGTGACAGTCTGACAGATTCACAATCACAGGGCAGAAGGTCCACTCCTCCGAGACAAGCCTTGCTAGTGCACTGGAGGATCCGCGCTAGCACTCGAGCTGAGGACAGCCCGGTTGCTGCCTCCAGTCCACTGTGCCCCTCCGATAAGCCTCAGCATGCAGCTGGGGGTATTTAGGCCCTTCCGGCAGGTCTGCAAAGCAGCAGCAGCAGCAGCAGAAGAAGTCGCAGTCATGGCTGACTATACGCAACTTCCGCCGCGCACATCTGCAGGCAAGCGCTCGGCCTGCGACCGCTGTCGGACACAGAAGCTGGGCTGCATGCGTGTCCCTGGCCACCCGGGCGATGCCTGCCTGCGGTGCGTGCGCTCGCAGGCCGAGTGTGTGACGAGCTCCTCCAGGCGGCCCGGCCGGCCCGTGAGAGCGGCCGCTGCGTCGTCTCCTGCTGCCCTGCCCAGTCCGGACGTGGAGGCGGATGTGGATGTGGATGTGGACAACTTTCCCATTGCCGCCCTCGACATCCCCTACAACATCCCCTACGACCTCCCCTACGACTCTTCCCTGGTGTTCTTGCCCGACTACCTCCCAGACGGCCTCGCCTACAGCGGCGACCGCTCACCGACCCCCATCCTAGACCACCATTCACCCCTCCTCGACCACCGCTCCACCCCGTCCACCCCGTCGCCGCCACACAAACACCACCAGCGTTTCTTGCGCCTGCACCAGACGCTCTCCCACGAGCTCGCCCTCGTCCAATCCACCCAGTGCGATCTGGCCGAGGTCTTCCGCGTCACCTGCGTCCACCCAGACATCCCACCCCGCTCGGGCCTCAAGACGGCCCCCGAGCCACACACTGACACCACCCACCGCGCTTCTACCTCGACCTCTGCATCGCTCTCCTCGCCTAAGTCCAACCCGCTAGCAACCGTGACCACCCACGCCGCCGAGTTCCTCTCCCTGCTCCATACCCTGCATCCCCTCGACACCACAGCCGCAACCACGACCACAACGCCAACAACGCCAGACCTCCTGACCGCACTCTCCTGCTACATCCTCCTCGTCTCCATCTACGACGCTCTCCTCGCCCAGTTCCTCGCCGCCGCCGCAACACACGCCGCCGCCCCCGACACCGCTGCCCCCGTCCTCGCCCTCGGCGGCCTCCCCGTGCCCCTCGCCCCAACCCTCCCCGCAAATCTCCTCATCTCGCTGCTGAACAGCCAGCTGCAGCCCATCGAGACCTGCCTGGGGCTTCCTGAAGTGCTGAGGGTGTGCGAGGGCGGGCGGTCACCCCCGGGGGTTGGTCCAGGGCACAACGCTGGGCTCTTTGGACGGCCAGGCGGCCAGGCGCTTTGTATGGCACTGGTGCAGGTTGAGGGGGAGCGAGCTGGAGGTCATATCGGGGTTGGGTCGGGGGTGATGGGTGTGGTGGCAGCGTTGAGGGAGAAGAGAAGGCGGGCGCTGGGGCTGTGATACTGTAGTGTCCTTGTCATTGGACTGTGACGAGGGGAATACGTTATGTATGTCCCGCTGCCATTGTATCGCTTGACATGTCTGGTTCTGGTTACTGGCGCTAGGGATTCGTATAGTAGAATGGCATCTAGATGGGTTCGTCTCCGTGCTGATACTGGACCAACGGACATAGCTTGTCGTGACGATTCCAGGGCTGGTGCTATGGTAGTTTGTTTTCAGACTAGGTACGGAGGCTGCCTTATTCTCCCTGCTGTTTATACTGCTTGTTAGCGTGCTGGAAGAGCCAACGAGCAGATAACACTTGATGAGGATGATATGAGAAGGACCCACTGCCTGGGAGTCCAACTCGGAAGCCCGTGCCGGTCTCGTTGGTTGCGTCTCATGCTCGTCGACAGTGCTGACTGCTGTTGCTGCGGCTGAACACAAGCCTCGCTCCTGAGTCCTCGGAGCCTCCGTGAGGTGATGGTTCCTTCTTCTCGGTGTCTGCGGTCCCGAGCACATGGGCTGCGAGATCAGGCGATCGTCTGAGATCCCTTGCAGCCCCTGGTCAGCACTCGACAGGCCCAACATTCGGGAATTTCTCACAACGGTCTTCTTCCAACATTCCTCATATCCTGGTCGGGTAATACTGGCTCTTACTAGAACACAGGCTGCGCCAGGCTCGGGAGTTTTGCTTCGCCCCCAAGGCCGGTTGCGAGATGGCCAGTGATAAAAGGAGCTGCACCCCAGGGGCTCTGTCTGCATCATCAACTCGACTCCAGATCCATCATCATTCGCAGCCATGGCCCGCCTCCTGTGGACTCTCGCTTCGCCTTCTCTGTTCCTGGTCCTGGTCTCTGCCACAAGCACCTGCAAGCCTGTCCCCGGCGACAACGACTGGCCCTCTGCGTCTCAATGGCACAAGCTGAACAGCACAGTCGACGGCCGTCTGATTGCTACTGTGCCCTTGCCGAGTGTCTGCCACAACGGGCCCATCGGAGCATTCAATGCTGACGCCTGTGCCGCGGTCCAGAGCGCGTGGACCGACTCGACCACCTTGTAAGCCTACGCAATCCAGTCAAGATTGGCGTTGCACTGACCTTGCCAGCATCGATGCCCCCGCCGAGGTGATGAACCCCTATTTCCAGAACCAGAGTTGCGACCCCTTCACTTCCGAGTACCGCCCCTGTGTGCTGGACAACTACGCCAGCTACTCGATCAAGGTCACCGGCGCCAGCGATGTCGTGGCAGGCCTCGAGTTTGCGCGCCAACACAACGTGCGCCTGGTCATCAAGAACACTGGTCACGAGTGCGTCCCAGCCATACCCTGAGTATACTCTAGCTAATACACCTCCCAGCTTCGCCGGTAAATCCACTGGAAAGGGCTCCCTCTCCCTCTGGATGCACAACCTGAACACCACCGAGATCCTCCCCACCTACACCAGCAGCCACTACACCGGCCCCGCGGCCAAGCTGGGCGCCGGCGTCGTCGCCGGCAACGCCTACACCACCGTCGCCGGCGCCGGCTACCGCATGCTGGGCGGCACCTGCCCCTCCGTCGGCCTCGCAGGCGGCTACACCTCCGGCGGCGGCCACAGCCTCCTAAACGGCCTCTACGGCATGGCCGCCGACGCCGTCCTCGAATGGGAAGTCATCACCGCCGCCGGCGAGCACCTCGTCGCCTCGCCCACCGCCAACCCAGACCTCTACTGGGCCCTCACCGGCGGCGGCGCAGGCAACCTCGCCGTCGTGCTCAGCATGACGACCAAGATCTTCCCGGAGGGCCCCATCGGCAGCGCCGCGCTGACCATCAACGCCACAGACCCAAACTACCGGCTCGCCATGGAAGCCCTCTGGACCTTCCTGCCGGCCTTTGTCGACGAGGGCCCCAACACCTGGGACTTCGTCATGGCAGCCACGGGCTTCGCCTCGCTGGGCCTGACGGCGCCCAACAAAACCGCCCCGCAGGTCCACACCCTGCTGACGCCCTTCCTCGACGCCCTCGACGCCCACGCCATCAACTACACCTTCGCCCCGGTCTCCTACCCATCCTACCACACCTACTTCACCACGCAGATCGCCTCCGGGCTGAACGTCGACCCAGCCAACATCCAGCTGACAAGCCGCCTGATCCCGCGCACCGCCGTGCAGAACACCACGCAGCTCGCCGGCGTGCTCGACGCCCTGAAAGCCTTCACGGACGCCGAGCACTGGGAGATCGGGTGCCACGCGCTCAATGTCGCGGGGACGCCGCGCACGGCGCCCAACGCGGTGTACTCCAAGTGGCGCGGGGCGGTTGCGAACTGCAACATCGTCAGCTACTGGGACTGGGACGTCGAGTGGAGCGAGATGCAGGCGCGCAAGGGGTACCTGGTCGGCACGCTGATTCCGGGGCTGGAGGCTGCGACACCGACGGGCGGGAGCTATCTGAATGAGATCGATGCGCAGTATCGGGGGGATTGGAAGGGGCAGCTCTATGCGGAGAATTATGCGGCGCTCTTGGGGTTGAAGCGGAAATATGACCCGGGCCATTTGTTCTATGCGCGTTTTACTCCGGGCAGTGATTATTATACTGTTGATGCGGCGGGAAGGTTGTGTACTGCCTGAGTGTGGACGGGGTTTGAGAAGGTACTCTGGTTAGGGGTGGTTTGTGGATGGACGAGGTGGTATGGGACTGGTGGCTGGTGGCGATGATGGGTCAGTAGGAGATTAGATAGTGCAATTATACAGTACTGGTGTTTGCATGTGAGCAGCTGTCCTATCCCTGCATGCGACCAGGCTTCCCGGGGAGTTGACCATAGTCACTGCTTGATGCAGCTGAGGAATACATATTCAATGCAGACTTTGCATATGTACTTAGCATCGAGGCTTACGATAAACCGTTTATCTAGTGCCATATATACCCCCTACTCCAGCAAGGATCAGACCAGACCGATCCAGAGCAGGCTCATAATGCATGGGCAGTACTACCATAACGTGATATAACTGAATATCAAGGATAGCTAAATCCTACAGACTGCCTTCAGATCCACAAAGCAATGCAATCATCTTCGTATCTCTCCAAACTGAACACAACTAAATCTCATGACACAAAAGCCCAGCGTCAAACTGACAAGCGCACCACCTGGTCCTCCCTACTTCGAAAGCCCCTCCAAATCAAACTGCGCCTTGTCCTTGTCCACGGCACTCAACTCCCTCACCTCCTCCACCACCGCCAACCTCGCGCGCAGCGCCCCGGTAACCAGCGCCGTCGCCGTCGCACTAACAGGCAAAAAGATCGGCACCTTCTCGCCGCGCGACGCAATCCGGACCAGCAAGTGCGCCAAATCCGCCGCGTCAAGCCCAGCGCCGCTCGCAAGATTCTGCTCGACAAAGGCATCCAGCATGCGCGAGGGCATGCCCGCGTCCGCATACGCCGGGTGCGGCGTAATGACCTTCTTGCTGCTGGTCTCGAAGTTCGTCTTGACGGCCGCCGGCTCGACGAGGCAGAAGCTGATGTTCCAGTCCGGGTGCATCTCGCGCGCGACCGACTCCGTCCACCCCTCCACCGCCCACTTGCTGGCGTGGTAGAAGGCGTGTCCCGGGAACCCGCATACGCCGGCGAGCGAGGAGATGTTGAAGATGAGACCCCCGCGCGGCTGGGCCTGCCGCATGAGTGCCAGCGCGCGCAGCGTCACGCGCACCAGGCCGAAGAAGTTGGTTTCCAGCTGTGCGTGCATCTCGGCCTCGCTGACGGCTTCGGTGTCGCCGGCGAGCGAGTAGCCGGCGTTGTTGACGACCACGTCGAGCGTGAAGGTGGGCCCGAAGTGGGTGGCTGCGGCGGCGAAGGCGGCGTCCACCGAGGCCGGCGAGTCGACGTCTAGGGCGACCTTGAGGATGTTGGGGGTCTCGGGGAGGTAGGAGAGGGTGGAGGGGTTGCGGGCCGTGGCGATGAGGCGCTGCTTGGGGTTGCTGGCGACTAGGATGGCGATCTCGCGGCCGATGCCGCTGGAGCAGCCGGTGACTGGGTGGGTTGTTAGTTATCTTGATGGTGCGGAGGGGTTGTCCAGCAGTCACTTACCCAGCCAGGTGGCGTCGGCGGGGAGGTGGTACGGCTTGGTGTTGACGGGGTTCATGGTGTCGGTATTGATGATGCTTGATCGTGCTGGTTCTGGGTCTCTTGCTTCTGCATCCTGTCTGGTCTGATGTTTTATACCACGGGCTGTTGCCGGAGATGGAAGCTCCGAGGGTGGTTATCTCCGAGCGAGCCCTGGGAGGGCATGCGTGAGAAAGGGCCGGGGGCCAATGGGAGGAACAGCTTTGCGAGCAAGCCAATGCGCGACCGGTTGCAGCCATGCCGAACAGGCCAACGGTGGGCCGGAGGATTGGAGGATCGCAGCCCCTGCACAAAGGGTGTCTGTCTGCACAGGGCAAGCTCCGGCTGTGCAGGTGGACTGTCTGCTTGCCCTAATGCCCGTGCGATTATTGTCCGACCGGACCCTCCTGGTCGATGCCGATGTCAAGGCAGACGTCAGACCTACTTATCGTCAGTCTTACTGCATCAGCTCGCACCATGCTGCCCGTCCGCCTGCCCTCGTCGCCATGTCCCTCCCAGCACTGCAAACCGCCCTCGTCCAGACCCCCCTCGCCTCCGGCATCGACCTGCCCCTCACCATCAACCATGAAACCCCCATCCCCAAAGCCCCAACCGAGCACCATGTGCTCGTCCGCGTCCTGGCCGTGGCGCTGAACCCTAACGACCACAAGATGATCACCCACCTCAACATGCCCGGCGGCGTCGCAGGCTGTGACTTCTGCGGCCTGGTCGAGCCATCACCAGACGGCCACACCGTGCCTCGCTTCCCCGCCGGCACCAGAGTCTGCGGCGCCCTCTTCGCGTATAATCCGGCGCACCGCAACAACGGCTCCTTCGCCCAGTGGCTCGTCGCCGACTCCCGCCTCCTCGTCAAGGTCCCCGACGCCTGGACCGACTTCGAGGCCGCCTCCCTGGGCGTGGGCTGGTCCACCCTGTGCCTGGCCTTCTCCGACCCCGACGCCCTGGCACTAGAGGGCCTCCCAACGCAGCCCACCCATAAGACAAGAGACCCAGTGCTCGTCTACGGCGGCGGCACAGCGTCAGGCACCCTCGCCTGCCAACTCCTAACCTTGTAAGTCAGCCCCACGAACCACGCACGCGAGCACAAAGGCCCCAGCCCCAGCCCCATCGCAGTGGATTCCTCTACCATACTCACCCCAATCCCCAGAATGGGATACACCCCGCTAGCAGTCGCATCCGAGCGCTCCTTCGCGCTCGCCAGGAGCTACGGCGCCGCCGCAACAGCCAGCTACACCTCCAAGGACTGCGTGGGCACCATCAAATCCCTGACCGAAAGGCCCATCCGCCACGTCCTCGACTGCATCACCGACATCGAGTCCGTGCCGATCTGCTTCTCTGCGCTGGCGCGCACGGGCGGCCGCTACGCCTGTCTCGAGGAGTGCCCTGCCGCGTGGCGCACCCGGCGCGCCGTCCGCGTGAAGGAGGTGATGGGGTTTCAGGTGTTGGGGGTTGATATGGATCTCGGAGAGTCGACGTATACGAGGCCGAGGAGCCAGCGGCTGATGGATATTGGGATGGTGTGGGCGAGGGAGATGGAGGTGTTGATGGAGACGGGGAGGATTAGGGCGCATCCGGTGAGGGAGGTGGAAGGCGGGTTTGAAGGGATTGTGAGCGGGTTGGAGATGTTGAGAAAGGGCGAGGTCAGGGGCCAGAAGCTCGTTGTGAGGATTCCGGTTTAGAAGTGTTATTGTACCGTACCGTACCGTACTGTATTACTGCTATGGTCGAGGTCTTGGCACGTGTCAGGTGACCTTGTGTCGCCTTAGGTGCCTAGCGTAGCTCTCGCGATAGTCAACTCTTACTCTCTAAATCCCACAAGTTCACCCTCGTCACCAACTCCTACCCCTAGATCCACCAACATGGCCTTAACCTTGAACTTGGAAGAATGAATGGAGGAGTTGTGTTCGGCAATATGGCATTTCAGTAGGTAGAGGCTCAGCTATCGTCCAGGTGATGGCAAGTGTGTGCTGCACCTCTGGCTGACACTCCTCACCTGCAGGAATCTCCGAGTCGCGTCGCCGGGCTGGCTCGCTCAGCTCGAAACTCCGTCTCCAACCCCGTCTCCAACCCCGTCTCCAACTCTCGCTCAGATGATCGGGAGGATCGGCACGGAGGCCATCATGGCCGAACAGGGGTATGCTCCAACATCAAGCTACTGCCAATGCACGTAATTCCCGATTCCTCACAAGTCGGGCAATCTTCGGAGGCTCGGCGGCGATGGACCCTTCAACGGACATCATGCATGATCATATATGTGTTATACAATGGATTGGAATGCACAGTTGTGAAGACATCAGCTTCAGCATTCCCTTCAACATCCTGCTACGATCCATGATGACACGAACCTCGCCCATCAACGAGCCAATTGCCCTGGTCGGCAGTGCATGCCGCTTCGCCGGCGGAACGACCTCCTCGTCCAAGCTCTGGGAGCTCCTGAGCAAACCCCGTGATGTGCGCAGCGAGATTCCCAACTCTCGGTTCAACGCCGAGGCCTACTACCACCCAAACCCGGCCTACCACGGACACAGCAACATCCGCCACTCCTACCTCCTCGACGACGATGTGACCACCTTTGACACCGAGTTCTTCGGCATCAAACCTGTCGAGGCCAAGGCCATTGACCCGCAGCAGCGGCTTCTGATGGAGACCGTCTACGAGGGGCTGGAGTCGGCTGGGTTGACCATTGACGGCCTGCGGGGGAGCGACACGGCCGTCTATGTTGGCGTCATGTGCTCCGACTATGAAGCCAACCTGATTCGGGATTGTAAGCAGACTGCCGTGGCGTTGAATGAGAAGTGGACTGACTGAGTGACGGGCTGCAGTGAACACAGCGCCCACGTACACCGCAACCGGCATCGGACGCAGCATCATGTCCAACCGCATCTCCTACTTCTTTGACTGGCACGGCCCTTCTATTACCCTTGATACGGCCTGCTCGTCCAGCCTGGTTGCCGTCCACTTGGCAGTGCAGTCGCTGCGCTCTGGCGAGTCGCGTGTTGCTCTTGCCTGCGGCTCGAACCTGTGCTTGGGACCAGAGAACTATGTTGTGGAAAGCAAGCTCAAGATGCTGTCGCCCGATGGTTAGTCCCCGGCCCTCACCAGAACTGCGTCCGAACGCTGACCGCAGAATAACCAGGCCGCAGCAAGATGTGGGACAAAGATGCCAATGGCTACGCCCGTGGTGATGGTGTCGCCGCCGTCGTGCTCAAGACGCTGAGTGCAGCAATTGCAGACGGCGATGATATTGAATGCATCATCCGAGAGACTGGACTCAACCAAGATGGAGCTACAACCGGCATTACCATGCCAAGTGCCACTGCACAGCAGGCCCTAATCCGCAGTACATATCACAAGGCCGGCCTCAGCCTGGAGAAGGCCTCGGATCGCCCTCAGTTCTTCGAGGCCCACGGCACAGGTACCCCAGCCGGAGACCCCATCGAAGCCGAAGCCATCGCCCGGGCATTTTTCGGCGACGGATACGCGCTGAAACGTGATGGCGAACCCCTTTATGTCGGCTCCATAAAGACCATCCTCGGCCACACAGAAGGCACTGCCGGCGTGGCCGCCCTGATGAAGGCATCTCTGGCCCTGCAGCACGCCACCGTGCCTCCCAACATGCTCCTGAACAACCTCAGCGACCGCGTCGCCCCGTTCACCAGGAACCTCCAGATTCTGCAGCAGGGCAGGCCGTGGCCGCAACTCGCGCCGGGCCAGCCACGACGAGCCAGTGTGAACAGTTTCGGGTTTGGCGGTGCCAATGCTCATGCCATCCTCGAAAGCTATGACTCTGCCCCCGGCCGTTGCTCCCACTCGACGTCCGATGCCCAGGGGCCGGTTGTCCCATTTGTCTTCTCGGCCCTCTCGCGCCAGTCATTGGCCTCCAGTTTGTCAGCCCACGCCGACTACCTGCAGGCTAACCCCTCCACTTCCCTCGTTGACCTGGCATACACGCTGCACAGCCGTCGCTCGACATTTGCCTACCGCATAACATTTGCGGCCACTACCGCGGATGACCTGACATCCAGGATCCGCGCAGAGCTGGACGGCACAAAGATCGAGGAGCTCGGCGTGAGATTCTCCGCCCCATCCGCAGGCAAGCGGCGCAAGCTCCTGGCTGTCTTCACCGGCCAAGGAGCGCAATATCCGCGAATGGCAGCTGAGCTGATTGAGAAGTCCGGCACAGCACGGGGAATTATCCGCCAGCTGCAAGGCCACCTCGATCAACTGCCCAAGGAGCTCCGACCAGACTGGTCCTTGGAGGAGGAGCTTTTCGCAGCGGCAGAGTCCTCGCGTGTCATGCAGGGCGCCTTCTCCTCGCTGGCCACGGCGGTGCAGATCTTGCTGGTGGATCTCCTGCGGCTCGCTGGCGTCAACTTCGACGCCGTGGTCGGCCACTCCTCTGGCGACATTGCCGCTGCGTACGCGGCTGGCTACCTAACAGCCCGTGATGCCATCTGCGTGGCCTATTTCCGAGGCCATCTGCTCTCACAGGTTCTCCGCGAGAATCCCAACGCCATGCAGGGGGCAATGCTGGCAGCCGGCATGTCGGAAGAAGATGCGGCAGCACTGTGCGACGACGAGGCCCTGAAGGGACGTGTGGTTGTTGCAGCCGTGAACTCGTCTTCGAGCGTAACTCTCTCCGGAGACTCGGATGCTATCGACGAGGTCAAGACTGTCCTGGACGACGAGCAGACCTTCAACCGCAAACTCAAGGTCGACCGCGCCTACCACTCGCATCATATGCGGCAAGGAGCGGATCCATACGTGAAAGCCATGCGCGCCGCAGGTGTTCGGGCCGTCGAGCCCAAGGATAACCAGATTACCTGGGTGTCGAGTGTCTACGGGCGCCAGGTCACGCCCGACATGGCGCTCAGCGCTGAATATTGGGCGGAGAACATGGTGCGGCCGGTGCTCTTCTACCAGGCACTCAAGACCACCCTGGAGACTGGCGAGTTTGACATCGCAATTGAAGTCGGCCCGCATCCTGCTCTGAAGGGTCCCAGCAGCCAGACTATCCAGGAGGTTCTGGAGAAAAGCATGCCCTACTCGGGCGTCCTGTCCCGGGGCATTGACGCCGTCACAGCCACCGCCTCGAGCTTGGGCTTTCTGTGGACCCAGTTAGGCCATCAAGCCCTCGCCTTGCAAGACTATGACCGGGCTGTGAGCGAGGTCAAGAGGCCACGGGCCGTGCTCAAGGGACTGCCGGCGTACCAGTGGAACCACGAAGAGTCCTATCGCCACGAGACCCGGGCATCGGCCAAACTGCGCAGCACGACGGCTCCGTGGAATTCGCTGCTAGGCGCACAGCTGCCGGAGAGCTTGCAGCAGCGTATGAGCTGGGGCCAGCTCCTCCGGTCAAGCGAGCTCCCCTGGCTCTCGGGCCACCAGGTCCAGAGCCAGACCGTCTTCCCGGCCGCCGGATACATCTGCACGGCTCTCGAAGCCGCCATGGTGCTCGCAGCCGACCGCGATATCCGCCTCATCCAGCTGCGGAACTTCGTCATCCATCAGGCCCTGACCTTCAGTCAGGACGACGCCGGCATTGACGTCGTCACCTGTCTATCCGACATCCGCGCCAGCGGCAGCAACCGCGTACGCGCCCAGTTCACCTACTCAGCCGGCCTGCGGCCTGATGAAATGGTGCTGGTTGCCCAGGCGGAGCTCGACATGACCCTCGGCCAGCCCTCGGACGCAACCCTCGCCTCGCGAGCCCCCGTCCCGCCACACACCATCGCCGTCGACCCAGAGCGCTTCTACACCTTCCTGGCGACGCTCGGCTACGGCTTCGCAGGCCCCTTCCAGTCCCTATCTTCCCTCCGGCGTAAACTCGGCAAATCCATCTGCAACATCAAGCCTGCAGACCGCGACGCCTTCGGCCACCCGCTCCTCGTCCACCCAGCCGAAATGGACGGCGCAATCCAATCCCTCATCCTCGCCTACAGCTACCCCGACGACGACCAGCTGCTAACAATGCACCTACCCACGCGCATCGGGTGCATCCGCGTCAACCCGGCCCGCTGCGCCTCCATGGCGGACATGGTCGCCGACTCCACCCTAGCCGGCCGGCAGTCAGCGGGCTTCCTGGGCGACGTGAGCCTGTACACGGCCAACTCAACACACGCAGCCGTGCAGCTAGAGGGCGTCGAGCTCGTCCCGCTCGGCGCCAGTACGGCCGGTAGCGACCGCAAGGTGTTTTCCAAGTACCACTGGGTCCCAACGCGTTTGGACGGCGACCTCGCAGCCGTGGATACCGTTGTCAGCAAGCACCATGAGGAGATCCTCATGGCGCTCGAGCGCATCTCAACCTACTACCTGCGACAGTTCGATCTCCAGGTTCCCCAGGATTCGCCGCTGCGCACGACCAGCCCGACGAGCCACTACCTAAGGTACGCGCGCCATATCACGGGCCTGGTTGAATCGGGAAAACACCGCTGGGCGCGGAAGGAGTGGCTGCGCGACACGAAGGAGGAGATGCTGCGCGCAACAGTGGCCTTTGCAGAGCTCTCGGACGTGCGTGTGATGCACCTGGTCGGCGAGCAGATGCCGCGGGTGTTCAAGGGCGAGACGAACATGCTGGAGGAGTTCCGCGTTAACAATGTGCTCGACGAGTACTACGAGAAGGGGTTTGGGTTCCTGCAGTCGGGGCTTTGGATGAGCCGGACGATCGCGCAGCTCGCTGCGCGGTATCCGCATCTTAGTATCCTGGAGATCGGGGCTGGCACGGGTGGTGCAACGAAGCGCATCCTGCGGCATTTGGGGGATAACTTCCTGCGATACACGTTTACCGATGTGTCGAGTGGATTCTTCGAAAAGGGGGCTGAGGTGTTTGCCCAGTACAAGGATCGCATGGTCTTCAAAACGCTAGACTGTGGACAGGATCCTGTGGCGCAGGGATATGCGGAGGGCGGGTATGATGTGGTCGTTGCCTCGCTGGTGATCCATGCCACGCCGGACCTGGAGGTGACGATGCGGAACATCCGCAAGCTTGTCAAGCCCGGTGGGTTTCTTGTGGTCGCGGATGGAAGCAACAACGGGCAGCCACATGGGACGGGGGGGTTCATCTTTGGCCCGCTGCCTGGGTGGTGGCTGGGCGTTGAGAATGGACGGCCGCTGTCGCCATTTGTGTCGACGGCCGAGTGGGAGCGCTTGCTGCGCGCCAGCGGGTTTGCAGGCATTGATTCGACGGCGCCCAAGGGGTTTGAGGACGTCATTGGCATGACTGTCTTTGCGGCGCAGGCCGTCGACGACAAGGTCAATTTCCTACGCGAGCCGCTGAGCACCCAGGCCTCTGAACAGGCGCCGATCAGTAACCTAGTCCTGGTTGGTGGCAGCACGGCAGCAACACTTCCACTGGTCTCGGCCGTTAAGAGCAGTTTGCAGGACAAGGCGCTGCAACTACATGTGTTTAAGACGCTCGCGCAGGTGGACACCCGCGTCCTCGATCCTGACTCGCTGGTGGTCTGTCTGACGGAGCTGGACAAGCCGGTATTCAAGGACATCACGGCGGACGAGTTCCTGGCCTTCAAAAGCATTTTCGCGCCGAACGTCAAGCTCTTCTGGGTCACCAGCGGGCGCCTGGCCGAGGAGCCCTTCACCAACATGACCGTCGGCTTCGCAAGAACAGCCGTGCATGAGATTCCGGGCCTGCGGTTCCAGAACGTTGACGTCGCTGATGTAGCACGCTTCGACCACCGACACATGCCCGAGATGATATTGAGGTTCCAGGCGCTAAGCGGGCTCGGTGAGACTGAAAGCGACAACCTTCTGTGGGCTCTGGAGCCGGAGATTGCGGTCGACGCACAGGGAGAGGAGCTGGCTCCGCGTTTGCGGCCCGTTGCGGCGCGGAATGACCGGTACAACGCTGCGCGTCGCCCCATCACCAAAAACCTGGATGTCACCAGCCACCCCTCGGTCCTGCAGCGAGACGGCGAAGGGTGGACGCTGCACGAGGTCTCCAGGTGGAAGATCCCTGCCGACGCAGCTTCCCACCGTAAGCTGCAGGTCAGCCATGCCGTCCTCTCGGCTCTGCGGACGCCCCAGGGACACAGGTTCCTTGTGTTGGGCCGCGATGTTGAGACCCACGGCCAATATTTGGCGTTGCTGCCCTCTATGCAGTCCGTCGTCGAGGTTCTGAGGGAGGCTGCGGTGGTGCGCCCTTTGTCGGGGCTATCAGACGCGCAGCTCCTGACCGAATGCGCAGCGTCTCTGGTCGCCACAGCCATTATCGAGCCCATTGTCGGTGACGCCGCGGTGGTCGTGCACAACGCTCCGAAGCTGGTGGCCCAGGCCATTGCCAACCAGGCGGATCGTAAGGGAGTGCAAGCCGTGTTCCTGAAAGATTCGACGCTGGAGCCCCCTGCCGGGGAGTCAGCGATCATCCTAGAGCCGTACATGACCCATGCAGAGCTCGCCCCGCTCATTCCCTTCAATACTGCCTGTTTTGTGGCCCTCGGCTCGGAGGAGTCGGAAAACGCCGCCACAGTCCGATCTTGTCTGCCCCGTCACTGCAGAACTGATGATGCGACGACGCTGTACGCTCCCACGGGTTGGGAGAGTGCTACCAGCGATGCATCTGCGGGAATCCTGGGACAGCTCCTACAACGTGTCGTGGACGGGGTGCAGAGTGGAGATGAGACAGCAGGCCAAACTGAGACCGTCGGTGTCGACGAGCTCCTGCAGGGTGCAACCCTGGAGAACCCTACCGTTGTCCTTGACTGGACTCGATCGAGCACCTACCCCGTGCGCATCAGTCGCTTGGACTCGGTGACCTTCTTCAAGGGAGACAGGACCTACTGGATGTGTGGGCTCTCCGGCGCACTGGGCATCTCCCTGTGTGACTGGATGATCGAGCGCGGCGCCAGACATCTGGCCCTGACCAGCCGCAATCCCAACATTTCTCCCAAGTGGATTGAGGGGCACGCGCGCAACGGCGTCACCGTCAAGATCTTCCCATGGTAAAGTTTCCGTGCTCAGCTTCATGTGCAATTCTAACGCAGGACAGTGACGTGACCAACGAGCCAGCCCTCCGCAAGACCCACGCAGTCATCAGGGACACTCTCCCTCCAATCTCGGGAGTGCTCAACGGGGCCATGGTCCTCCGCGACGTCTCGATCCAAAACATGTCCTTTCAACAGATGAGCGATGTCTTCCGGCCAAAGGTCTATGGGAGCATCCACCTGGACCGCATCTTCGCCAACGAGCCCCTCGACTTCTTCATTCTCTTCTCCTCGATCAACTGCGTCATCGGCAATCTCGGTCAAGCCAACTACTCTGCAGCCAACACCTTCATGACCGCGCTTGCCGCCCAACGCCGAAAGCGTGGCCTCGCCGCCATTGCCATCGACATCGGCGCCATCATTGGCGCCGGTTACATGGAGCGCGAGTCCAGCAAGGCGCTCGACCTGACCGTCTCCAAAATGGCGCTGATGCATCTGTCCGAGCAGGACTACCACCAGCTCTTCGCCGAGGGCATTGACGCCGGCCGTCCGGACTCGGGTGACGAAGCCGAACTGATCACGGGTCTGCTGGATATTCCTGCAGCCCGGGGCCCGAATGCGCCTAGATGGCAGGCCAACCCTACATTTTCGGCGTTTGTCATCCATCAAACGCAGGAGAGCGGTGCGGCGTCGGGGGGCGAGGCTGCGGTTTCAATCAGGGATCAGTTGGTGGGCTGCAAGTCTGCGGGGGCGGTGTTGGGTGTTGTCAAACGTATGAACCATATCCTGTCCTGCTAACTCTCCTTGTTCTTTGCAATTACGCGAGCTAAACATATCCATGGATAATAGGGACATTTGCCGCCCAGCTACGGAACGTGCTGCAGATGAGCACCGCCGACGAGGACCTGATGGCCGTGCGCAGCCGTGACATCGGACTCGACTCGCTCATCTCTGTTGACATCCGCTCGTGGTTCCTCAAGAACTTCGAGGTCAGCATCCCCGTGCTGAAGATCATGGGCAACGACACCATGGCCGAGCTGGCCGAGCTGGTCGCCACCCAGCTTCCTCCCGCCCTGATCCCAGAACTGGGCGGTGATTCGCCGAAGCGCGAGGAGGAGAATGCAGGTGCAAGCGAGAATGATGTTGAACGAGCCAGCTCCTCTGGCGGTGACGACTCCCTCGACTCCTCCTCCTCCTCCTCCTCCAACACAGCCCCCACCACGCCTGCCCTGACCCGGCCCCCCTCGCGCGTGCAAAAG